AGGAAACAAGATTCAAAAGTTCGCAGTTCTTTTCCTGTCTACCTGGCCAGTGCATCTGAGTTGAGAGTGCTGTCCAGAGCGGTCACAATGGAGCACTCTGGGATAGCTCCCGGAGGCCAATACCGTCGAATTGTGTCCACAGTACCCCAAATTCGAGCCGGCAAGGCCAATTTAAGCGCTAATCCACTTGTCAGGGGTGGAGTAAGGAAATCGATTTTAAGAGCCCTTTAAGTCGAAATAAAGGGCTTCATCGTGTGGACGGGTGCAGGTTTATATCGATTTAACGCTGCTAAATTCGACCTAAAGTCCTAGTGTAGACCAGGGCTAAGTCAACAAAAATGGCTTCGTTGTGTGGACGGGTTAAATTGATCTAACACTGCTAAATTAGACCTAAACTCATAGTGTAGACCAGGGCTCAGCCTGAGTGAGTGGAGGATGCTGACTATCCTTAGACATGCAGAGGTCAGGCACAAACTGGAAATCTACTCTCTAAACCAGACTCACAAAGACTGTTTGCAGGCACAGTGGGTAATTTCACTTGTGGACAGACACAAACACAGCTATTGTAAAAGAACAAAACACTGAAACCTGAGAGATCAAATTACCTCTAAGAGGAAGAGGCAAACTAGGATTAATAAAGAGCGAGGTTTACAGGAAGCACAAGGATTGGGGAGAAATATTACTCTATTTCGCTTGGAAGGAGCTCAGTTACATCCAGTGATGGGCAGCAGTACTAAACCCTTGGATAGAGGTGTGCTATCATTTGGCTTTACCAGGACAAAGTGAACCACTGTGGCCTCTCACGCTCCTGCCTACATCATAGCTCCTAGTTTGTGAACAGCAGCCACCATCAAAGAAAACTGCCATAACTGTTATACAAAGAAAGAAAGGCCTAAGGGGCCTGCACAACTGTCTATGCCTTCAACTGCATGCCAGCCTGTACAAAGAATGACACCAATAGTTACTTACCAGACTTTCGGCTGGAAAGGAACCAAAGCTCTTACTTTGGGCATAAACCCTGAAGGATATGACTAAGGTGCACTCAGAACATGTAAAGAGCTCAAAGCACAGACTGCCAGAGGGCTAACCTTAGCCTCGGAAAATTCAGAGAGAGTGGGAGAAAAGATAAGGTTAAATCTGATAAGAAAGTACAGTGCAACTCGGAGATAGGTGGTGTTATACACTGTAATCCACAGGGACAAATAATAAAAGGATGAAGTTACTCCAGGATGAATTTGGTCCACACGGTCCGGTGAGTGAGAGTGTTATGTTTGTAACAGAAAGAAGAATTTCACACAGCCTGGGTTTTGTTGTGTGGCCTGAGAAGGACATGAGCTCTGACTGTACAAACTCACAGGGACTGCCTGTTACCTTATGGTTACTCACATTTTCTTGAAGCAGAGCCACCCAGAGAATCAACAGGGAGACCCATCACTAAACCTGCTTGACTGGATTCTGCAAACACTGGGACAGCAGTACCAAATATGTCATTTTTTAAAAGGCTCACCTTGTAGAGAAAAGAGGTGTGATGCTTCCACATGTTTCTGCCCAGGATCTCATACCTAAGACTGATCATAATGTATGAAATGCATATTACTATAAGCCCAAAGCTACCATGTTCCAGGCTGTCTTCTACTGAAAACAATCATGGAGTTATTCATAAGTACAATGGACTATGCTTTAATAACTGAGCATATTGTAGACCACAGATTCCATTGGATGGCAGTCCTGTCAGTGATTCACCTCCAGTTCAAAAGCCAGGGATTCAGGAAGAAAACCTGCTCCTGATATTTCCTTTCATTCTGACAAGGGGATGTGCCTACGCAGAGAACACAAGAAAAACACGGACCTACTCACCTGATATATGAGGAACCATTAGTAATGATGTTACTAGTCTTTGTTGGATGGCGTTCGGAGCTAGTCATTAAACCTGCGAGCTTTGGAAGACAAATCATTATGTGAATGTTCATTAAAATGCAATCATGGATTCATGAAGTTCAGGGAGAGAAAAGGGAATTCCCCTAAGGTTTTGATCTTTAAGGATGATCCTTCTGTGGGTCCCCTGGACTTTATGGATGGCCCCATAGCATTTTGGGAAGGATAGTTTTTGAATTTATAGAGCATATATTTTGGCCCAGAACATCTCTTCTGCTGGGAAAGGCCGTAGGAGGGGTCACAGAAAGAGGATGTCTGTGGGAGGGAGGGAAAGGAGGTGGGCAAGGGGATTGAGGGGGCACAACCTCAGGAAGCCTTCTTCCTCCCTTCCACAGGATCTCCTGCGGGCTTGGTGAGGGGAGATTCTCTCCTGTGGACTTTAGAGGGTGCACTGGAATAGAGCTCCAGCTGGGTACATGCAACAGTGCCCCAGTGAGCCTTAAGAGGCTTGTCAGGCATCCCCTCCACACCCTCCCACAGGTATTAGAATACTCGTTGAGGCCCCCAGTCACCCACCTGCAGATGGTAAAAGGTTCATGAAGGCCCACACTTATGAGCCCTGGGAGGCTGGTAGAGTAGCCCAGCCCTCCTGCTAGCATTCAATGCCACAACCAACACCTCCCACCTTTCCCTGCAAGCACAAGGAAACCTATTAGCCCTTGATAAGCTAAACTATATCGTCCACTACCAGACAAGCCTGAATAGGCCGGTTAGTGTCCCAGCAGTCCTACCGAGGCTACTCTGGGGTGCTGAAAAACCTACTGTGATTGGTTTGCCATGGAGTGGCGGGAGAGGAGGCCTGGTGATCATTACAGAGGGAGCGATGAATCCTTGAGGGTCTACAGGAGGGGTGGAATGTCCCTGACTACTGCGTCACCAAGCCTCATTCAGTGCCTTCCAGATATCCTTTCTCCCATGCTCCCTTCTCACCACCACTGTCTGCTACTGGGAAAGGACTAGAAAATCCAGTAAGCAATGGATCTTCCAGCCTGCCCCACCTCCCCTCCACCACCCCACAGGGCTGGACTCTGCTCGCTGCAGGTAGCCCAGCCCAAGTTGAGTTTTGTTGCCAGAAGACCATCCTCACTTTGGAGGGAGGGAGCAGGACTGGCCCCTTAATTGCTAATTAGCAAAAATCAGTCATTTATAATTAGGGTTGTTAAAAAATACAGGTTAGACCTTAGATGTCCCCAAACTTGACTTGAACCTCTGGTGGCAAGTCCCTTTCCCCTCGCCACCATACTTTCTAGGGTTTCTCTCTCTCCAGCTCTGGATGCCGCTGAGAACCCAGGGCCTCCGGTGCAGGGCGAGCAGCCACTTTGACTTCTGTTCAGGTTCTGCACGGTGCCAGCAGCTGACTCGGAGGCTGCAGTGGCTGGTATTTGCCTACTGCGGCGCTGTGCATCCTGCTGGGGATGTTGGCAGAGACTCTGTGAGCAGGGAGGCTACACCCGGAGAGTACTGACCCCCTGCCAGATAGAGCCCCTTCCTGACCCTGGCCCTTCAGCACAGTTCCAGAGCACACATCCCCATCCACTTGCCTTGCCAGACAGAGCCTGCACAGGGAAAGCAGACTGGGCCAAGCGCTTGAGTCAGCAAGGGGCCCTTTCCAGCAGAGAGCCAGGACTCCCGGGTACATCTTTCCACACCCCTCTCAACCCTAGTTCCTGAACATGGCCATGTGTGCCTTTCCTGTGCAGCACTGAAGGGCCAGAGTCGGGAGGGGAGTGGAAAGATGCACCCGTGAGAATAGCTCCCCTGCTGTTGAAATACAGGCTAAAAGCCATCCTGTACTGATTTAGTATGGGACAGGCAATTTTCTATTTAAATAAGGGAACTGTTGGCAACCCTATTAGCAGGGGTCTCCCTGTTGTACAATTAGTGAGGTTCTGCTGGATAAGATGGTGGGTCTAATATTTATCCAGCATGCAGATTGCTGCACCTCTCCAGACTCCTCCGGGTCCTTGCCCCTGGACATTTCTGAATTGTATCCTTTCCCCCTGCATGTCACATCTTATGTTACATTTGTTGTGAAAATGACAGGAAGAAAGTGCCTGGAACAAGATTATCTTTGTGCCCCCTCAGCCTTCAGAAATCTCAAACATATGAACCCCCTTCATCATGGCCTACACTCACACAGCACACACACATGCCACACCACAGTAAGCCCTGCCTTTACTTTGCATCACTCTGAAGTTGTCTAGGACTAAAATGCCTCCAAGGAGACAGCACTGTAGATTTACTTGGATACACTCTTTGCCTGCTGGGAACAGAGCGGATGCCAAAAGCAAAGTTCAAAATTATAAGTAATCAGTGCCACCTACTGTCCAAATGGTATTAGGACATTCCCATGCCCCCTCTACCCTTTGCATACTAAAGGAAATGTAATTTAAGGAGGCATGATCTGGGCCTCTTTCACCAATGTCTCTCTGGCTGAAATTCCAGTGCATTATAAAATTCATAGACCTTGGCATTTTCTTACTTTTTCTTTCATACACTGAGGCAGAGCTGTGTGGAGTTCCAAGACTGACAAAGGCAGGGAGATGGTGAGATGTGCAGCAGGTAAAGATCGGGGTGCACCTTCCCCTGCTGAGGATTCCCTTTTTGGTCCTTTCACAAATGATTTTGTTCTATTGTTATTTTCTAGTGTCAAAGTTCCATTCATTTGTGATGTCCCACATATTAGGCCAAACTCATTTGTGTAAAGACCATTGAAGTCAGCGGAGTTTCATCAGGGAAGAATCTGGCCTTCTGTATTTTACAGTCTGATATCAGCATTTGTGACCCTGCTGAACATACTATTGGCTGCACAATTATATTGCAGTTTGGCTGAGAAGGACTTTGGCTCTAATAAGATTTTGTAGCACATTTTACAGATAAAAGCAAGATTTCCCAACAATAGGACATGAGAAAGCAGAGACGGAGCAAGACAGAGATTTGGTGGCAAGGAGACTGACAAAATCTTCTGAGGGTCTTTTTTTTTTCTGAAGAGGTTTTTAATCCTAAGGGAAACATCTGGACATTCCCTCTCCCCTCCAATTTGAACTGATTGCTGACTCCCAGGGATGGAACTCTCTGATTCTCAGGAAGCTGTTACCCAGCTGAATGTTCCTGGGCCAGCTCTGGCTTTCCAAAACATCAGTTACTTTGTCCCCATCACCAAGTCCTTTTTCTCAAAAGAAGTAGAAGAAAAGGAAATTCTCAGGGATGTCAGGTAAGGAATAGTTCTTCCCTGTAAAGGCATAGCCAAAATAAGGAATCATGGGGCTCTGGAGCCATAGAGACCTAGGAAATCTTAAATATCAGAGTATTGAACACCGCATATTTGACAGAGCACAATTGAATTGCATAATAAAATTAGTTATCTGTCTCAGGGTTGTCTGTGGTTCCTATCACAGCAATGTCTAAGTACTGCCCAAAAATTAATACTCATAGTGAGTGTGTTCTAAATGGCAATATTCTCATGGCCTTGCTTGGCTTCTGTCTGCTTCTCTGGGTGATTATTGAGTTATTCTTTCTTTCTTTCTTCTTCCTCCTTTCCAATCTCTCTGATAGTCCAAGGGAAAGGCCATCACCAGGGAAGGTCTCATCAAAGAGGGTTGGATTCTGCCGGCAATAAGGTGCTCCTGCAGTGTCCCATACACAGGAGAGCCTTATCCTGAGCCAGTTTGGTTGAAGCACCTCTGTGGAGCATTGCTATCTCTGAGAGTAGCAAATAGTGGTCAGTGGGGAAGATAGGTAAGTGGTGAGACAGCTTGGACCCTGACCATTAAGTGCCTCCTAGATCCGTACTGGTGATTTAAATTCATTTTGGAAAGGAAGAGTGCTCACACCAGGCTCTGTTGGATCCTGTGCACGCTGCTGTGTGAGCTTCAACTTCTTGGGGGAGATCATGCTCAGGCCCAGTTATTATAACCCAGTCTTACCTGGAGACCCAGCCCTCTGCCCTCCCACGCAGGCCCCAGGTACCACCAGTCAGGTTTCCGCAGGGGCAGTGACATTCATAGCACTGTTTGTGTGTCAGTGGTTTCATGAGCAACTTACTGTCGACAACAAAATGACATTTTTAATATTTCTGGGGCCAGGGCAGGCAGGTGGGACTCTCCGTGTCTGGTCCAACCAAAGCTAGCTCAGAAATCCAGCAGTGTCCTAGGAATACATGCTCCTCAATCCTGCAGAAATATCCAGATCCCCAGTCTCTCTTTCCCCTTGTTTTATCGATCCGCATCTTCCAGGCCCTTCATCCTTCCTGCTGAGGAGCAAGGGGTGCCCTCTATCACCCCATCAGGGCTGAGCCTTAATTGACTGAAGGGGTCATTGATGAAGAACACAAGGCACCCCTCCCTCAAGAGGCAGAGCATGCTAGCTCTTTGGGGCAGGGACCGTCTCTTTGGTATATGTTTGTACAGTGTCTAAAACAAGGGGCTTAAATAATAAACAACGTGGGCTGCATTACACTGCCAGCCCCTGCCAGTTTGTGGGACAGCAGGCAGACGGGGAATTTCACAAAGGTTTTCCTTCATGGCACAACAGAGGAAGATCCCCTTTCCTCCTAACACCAACCATTTGAAGATGAAACACCCTTATGCACCCTCTGTATGCCCTGTCAATCAGGGAGTGACTCCAGTACCCTTGCACTTATCAATTGCTACGGGATATTCATGTCTATGGCAATTATCATTTCCCTCTGTCATCACCCATCACATCTCTTCAGCTATCCACCCAGAGCTTCGTTGGACCAGAGAGCTAGAGACCCCAAGTTATTCCTAGGGCTTCAAGGCACAAAGCTGCAGATGCCAAATCCCAGGCTTGCAAGAGTAAATGGTAAGCATGTTAAATCTGAAATAGCACATAAGAGGCTGGCACTGCCGTGGATTCCGAAGTCCCGAAGTATCAAAGGGCAGATTCTGCAGCGAGTGCGTGTGCTTTGCTGTGGATTAATTGATGCCCTCTGAAACCATGACCAGGCTGGTGTGCATACTTTATGAGAGCTGGAATGCCTCACAGAAAACACCCCTCATAATGGTTCCTCATATCTGCTGCAGTAACGCTACTGTGAATCATTTAATTGCCAGCGTCAGCAGATGAGCTCTGCCTTTGCTTGGGATATGGGAGATCTATGAACAATCACTGGACCCCAAGATTCCAGCTAACACACAACACCTACGTGTTTAGTATGACCATCATTTATTATTATTTATATTTTAGTAGCACAAAGGGGTTCCAGCTAAGATCAGGTCCCCACTGTGCTGTGTATTGTCCAGAGAGATGAGACAGTCCATATCTTAAAGAGCTTACAATTTAAGTTTAAGATTAGAGGCCAGAAGTGGGTGTAACAAACAAATGGAGGGATGGTGGGGCTGGGGTGACAGTAGTGTTCACACATATCTACAGGCACTAACTGTGTGCATAGTTTGAAGGTTCAGATGTGTGTTTAAAGGGTGAGTTTTGAGCTAAATGAAGATACTGGTAGCAATAATCCCAGTTCCCTGCCTGCCTGCTCAGTATCACCTGGCCGTGTTTGGTAGGATCACAGTAGGAGTGATCTCATGGATGGATCTGAAGGAGATGGTGTAGTCACTTTATGGATTAGATTCGGGAAGGTGTTTCACACATAAGGGGAGTCATGGAAGAAAGGGGAGTCATGGCTTGGGAGAAGTGAACAAATAGGCCGTGAGAGTTGGCATAATCAGTGGAGGAAAGAGGGCAGCTGACAATACTATAAAGACAAAGTAAGTGGGCAAAGTGGGGTTAAATTGTGAACAGCCTTAAAGATAAGAATTAGGAGCTATATGATGTGGTGGAGATGGGGGCGGCTGTGAAGAGATTTAACGGGGGGCTGGGAATGATGTGGTCCAAAGGGCAAGCCAGGAAGCTGATCTTAGCAGCAACATTTCGACTGGGCCTGAGTGGGTGTTTTTCTTTGGAAATTACCTTTGTACAATTACCTCCAGCTCTCAGTGCCCATGCCTCCAGCTCAGTACCTCCACAACAAGTCACGCTGTGACACAAACATTCCTTTGGGGGTCTGTACCAGCTTTGAGAACAGCTCAGTGCACATCACACAGCATGGGCAGCCATTTGTGCCCAGGCCGATCCTGGAGTTTACTTTTCACAAATAGCACACACTCTATCAGAAAGCCTGTCTTCTGTCTCATTCCCTTTTCAGCCAATAACTGCCTCTTGCTTTCACTTAACCAGCTTGCCCACTCTGGGTTTCTTGTTATGTGAAATCATTCCCTAAACAGTTTATAATACTATTTCTTTTCGCAGTGGCATTATGAAGCCTGGAATGAATGCCATTTTAGGACCAACCGGAAGTGGCAAAACCTCGTAAGTGTGGCTGTATAAATTAATGCCTCTTGCATCACTTTTGATATCTCTTCTATTGCAAAGAAGGAAAAAGGACTGAGATTCAATACCCACCCACCCCAGGGTGGGTTGGTATCTGCAGCTCTGGGTTTGGGTACATTGGCAGAGCAGAGTCTGAATACTGGGATTCATTTCCCTCTCACCACAGGAAACAGCAATACCTGTAGGACAAAATTGGTTCCTGAAGACAACTGCTTAGCTACTTTAGTAGAGCAGTGTTGGGAAATCCAAAGCTGAATGAACTTGGAGAGTGCATGCAGGACTGGGCTGGAAGGGTCCATAGGTTGGAGTGATATGGGGAGAAGCCCTGTATTGAGAAACTGTTAAAAGTCACCTTTTTTTCCTCAGACTCCTTGATGTACTTGCGGGGTGGAAGGACCCGAAGGGGCTTAGAAGTGGACAAATCTTCATGGATGGGAAGTCAGCAAACTCACAGTTTCACCTATGCTCTGCTTACATAGTGCAGGTGAGTCAGGGCAGAATCCATGATGCCTCCCAGTTTGTGCACAGGCCTATCTGATTTTCCACTGGAATAGTATGCTGAGCCTGAAATGCCCAGGACGTGCAGTGGCAAGGATTCATGATGCTGGTTAATTGCAGATGTGTATTCCTTATGGCTACAGCAGAGTATCAATTTAGGATCCTGAAATATCACTTCACTCAGCCATAACCACATGACTCTGTCATCATAGGCATTTTCTCCATTTGGAGCATTGTCTTTTCCTTAAGAGACTACAAGTCTCTGTCTCTTCCTCCCACTGAGAACTCTCAGGGCTGGCCCTCAACATTTTGGCATCTGAGGCGGGGAGCTCAAATGACGCCCCCATACCTCCTTGCTTGGGCCAAAACTTTGAAAGGTCTCAATTCTGCCGTCTTCCTGTTCTACTCCTCTCATGGTACTGCTCTGCTACCTACCCCAATAAAGGAGAACTAACAACTTAAAATGCCTTGTTCAAAAATTTTAACACTTAACTTTCAAATGCCTGAGCAGCAAATGTAACTTTTCTTGTCTGCATAGTAAACACTGGCATCTTTATCTGTTTGAATAATCAAAGTGGTGCTTTCCCTGCCTTCTTGGTTGCAAAGATTTGAACTGCTTCCTGAAGGTCCACAGTCTGGGCCAGCTCATGCTCTATTGAGATGGTTGCAAGGCCGACCAGTCTCTCCTGTGTCATTGTGGAGCGTAGATGAGTTTTTATTAACTTCAGCTTGGAGAAACTGCGTTCTCCACTGGCAACTGTTACAGGAAGTGTTAGAAGTATGCACAGAGCAACAAAAGCATTTGGAAAGAGGGTGGTCATCTTATTTGTGCAAATATATCTCAGAACAGCCTTTGGAGTTGATCCTGCTGAAATATATCTTGAAAGGGCTTTCAGTTCATCGCCTAAATCACTGCATCAATATTGCACATGTCATCATGTGTCAACACTGTCTCTAGTGCCCTGCATTGCTGGTGTAGGTCTTCTTCAGGTATAGTGAGGAGTTTTGGAATATCATACAACATTCCAAATATATTGCTGTGTTCCTTGAGCTGCATGAAACATTCTTCAACAGACTGTATTGCACAATCTAGAACCTGGTTAAAGAATTCAACTTTGAATTGTTGTTTGGGGTCTCTTATGGGATTATCCCGTGCCTCGTAATCAAAATGTCTTCTTCTTCAGTGACTCTTGTATTCTTGAATGGATGGGACAATAGCTTCAGTGTGAAGTTCCTCTGCCAACTTTTGTGCACTCTTCAGAACATTTTGAAATCCCTCATCTGACCGGTAAGACCGTAGGTATGACTTTGCTTTGTCCCGTTGTTCCATTGCTCCAGATATATCAAGGTCAACACTTTGGAGTCTCTTGCTTACAACATTTATTTCAAACAGTATGTCATGCCACAATGCTAAGCCACACAAAAATTTGAAGTTATGTATGTTTCTAGTGATTCCATTTCCCTCTGCCACTGTTCTCCCATGAACAGGTCCTGTCCAAGCATTATCCTCCATAATGGCAACTATGGCATCATCTATCTTCCCAATTTGGTGTTTGATAGGGTTTATTGCCTCCACTTAACTTTCCCATCGTGTGGCACTCAGTGGTTTCAGTGTCAGAGAGGATGTTCCCCAGATGTTGCTTCAAAATTTGCCATCGATGAGTTGATGCAGAGAAAAATACATAGATGCTTTGAATTACATTAAAAAATTCAGCAGCCTCACTAGAAGCTGATGCTGCATCACTGACCACCAAGTTCAATGAATGAGAACTGCATGGGACCAAAAAAGCTTGAGGGTTTAACTCTCAGATCCGTGTCTGCCTCTCCTCTGTTCTTTCCTCTCTCGTGTTGGCACCATTATTGTAGCCCTGACTTTTCCTGTCAGCTATCGCAATTCCCGTATCTTCCAGCTTTTTAAGAAGCACATTTGTCATACCAGCTCCTGTAGTATCATCAATGTCAATAAATTCTAGAGAATGCTCTCTGACAGTCACCATTGAAGGGACATTTTCACTAGGTTCTGTTGTTGTTACAAAACACACCATTAAAGTAATTTGTTCCGCATGACTGATGTCAGGTGTGCAATCCAGAATAACAGAGTAATATCTTGCTGACTTCAGAGCTGCCACAATCTTCTGTTTGACTTTTGTTGCCAGTAACTGTATGATCTTATTTTGAATTGTTTTTCCAAGGTAGTGGTGGGTGTACATTTCTTGGGTCGTGACTCTTCTTAGATGATCCTGGAGTACAGCATCAAACTCAGCCATCACCGCCACAGTTTTAAGGAAGTTTCCATTGTTTGGCACATACAGCTGATCTGAAGCGCCACACAGGTTTTGGGTAGCAAGCATTCTCACAATGGCAATGAGCCTTTTCAGAACATTTGCCAATAAAGAGACTCTGATGCAACCTTCTCTTGATGTTGATCATCTATGGTGGCCTTTAACCTTAGTCTCATCTCAAGCTCTTTCTACCTATGGAATGCTCTCTGGTGATTTTCTGCCTTCTCATGGCATGCCAGATTTCTAGCCCTTTGTTTCTGTAGAACCCAGTGTGCTTGGAACATTAGACTGGAAGAGTTTGTAACAAAAACAGTATGCAGCATTCTGGGTTTTTGAGTACATAAGCCATGGCCTCTCCACTTGGTCACCATTGGGGATTTCATGCCAGTAATGTGTTGGATGGAAACTTCTATTTTCATTGTCTTTGGGGAACATGAAGTTTTTCACTTGCTGTGGCCCATGCAGTACAAGGAAGTCCCTCAGGCTACTGCTCAAGTGGGTCCACAGTCCTGGATCATCTAGACTTAAAGAACTAAACTCAGCAGCTGCTGTTTCTTGCGCCTCCACCACACTCTTCTCTGATCTACACTTTTCTTCAGGAATGTGCATGGTTACATCCATATGAGATGAAGATATGAATGATGCACTCTGATGAACTGGAAGATCAGGCATCTCCTCACCACTCACATCCTCACGGAGGCCGGAAGGCTCATCGTGAACATTTGTGTCTATGTATCTCAGGAGAGCTCCTTCCTGCTTAGATAGAAAAGCTTCCTTTGCTTTCTTTCTTTTTCTGAATGCTGCCCCAGAGGAGCGTTTTCTTCTTTCACTCATGACTGCTGTTCTGTGCCAGCTATAGTGGCTCTCAACACTCAATTGAAGGAGACAAATAAGCAGGCTGGTAGCAGGGGCTGAGTGAGGGAAGATATCAGCGTCTTAAGAGCCTAACTGGCTCCTACTACTTCAGTTGACTGACTATTCTCCTCAGATGGGTTCAGGGAAGCTGCAGGAAACTCCCTGAGAAGCTGGGGTTAATCAGTCCAGGCTCCTGGGGGTGCTAGAGAGGTACATAAGAGGCTCCGCCTCCTCTCTCTCCCTGCAGCTCCTGCTGCTTTCTGTTATTCCCTCTAACTTTTTCTCCTGCCTGTCTGCTATGTCTCTTGTGCCCTCCTTCCTCAAAGACAGCACTCCACCATCTCTGTGCAACTAGAGCAGAGAGAATACATATGCACCGGCAGCAGACACAATTTTCTACACTCTGGGTCTTAGTGGTGCCCACCCCCACAGTCTGGCACCTGAGGTGGCCGCCTCAGTTCGCCTCATGGCAAGGCCAGCCCTGAGAACTCTATGGAAGCCATTAGACCTCTGTATTCCTCTCACCAGGAATCCCCTTTGGGTACAGTCTATCTGTAAGGACTTCACATTACTAGAACAGTGTTGATGATACTAGGACCCACTAAGGAGGTCTTTTCTCTCAAAGCACTGGCTGATTTTCCTCTTTAAATCAAGTGTTTTCCATTGTTTTGTGCTGCCACAGGAGGATATTCTGATGGGAACACTCACTGTTCGTGAGAACCTTCAGTTCTCTGCCAGCTTGCGCCTCCCACAGAGCCGGAACAGTGAAGCAGAAAAGCAGCTGAAGGTCAATGTAGTAATACAGGAGCTGGGGCTACAGGAGTGTGCTGACACCAAGGTTACTGTACTATCTTTTTATTAAAACAAGGCAGAGGTTGTACATGTACTCACACAGCAACACCACCTCTCATTTCAAGCAGTAGCTTCCTTATGTGTGTGCACAAGCACCTGATAGGACCCTTTTCACACACTAACAGTGACAGAGGTGTATGATATGGTGGGTGATTTGAGTTGCACGTGTAGATTCTATCCTCTGCATGCACAGGATGAACAGAGCACACACAGGTATTTGCTTTTGCAACTTTGCATGTACTGTACATCCAACCCTGCTTAGGCCAACAGCAGGGTTTCAATCTGGGGCTTTCAGTTTTGAAAACCATGAGGTTTTACTGCCTGAGCTAAAGGACTGAGTCTGTCAGCTAGAAGCAGGTTCAAATGTTTCATATGGGCCAGCCATTAGAGAGGGACAAAGTCCCACAATCTCCTAGAGTGGGTTACACATTGGAGATGCAGGCCTCTTCTGCCATTTCTCTCTCTAACTCCCTCCCCTTAATGGGAGGGAGACAGGGAGATGGGATGGGGAGCGGGGTAGGTCCAGTAAGACAGCAATACTGTGCTCTTGTTAAGCTCACAGAGCTTAGAGGTGGGCTCTTTGGGCAGATCTTGTATGAGAACCACGACTTCTTTGTTTCCAGTTTGCCCCCTGGCTAGGGTGATTCTGATCCTGGGAAATACAGACCAGTAAGGATTATTTCAATGCCAGGTGAATTGTTTGAAATAAAGACAAATGGAATTATAAATCATCTAGTGAACATGATATGATACGGAGAAACCAGCATGGCTTCTGGAGCTCAGAGTGATGGGACACAAGAGAGGATACAGCTCCCCCTGTTAAAATGTGGGAAGATGATTGAAAGGACAGGAGCGCCCCTAGCTATATGTTTACCATTTGTGTCCATCTCAGATCAATCCACTCACTACAGCCTATATTTAAACTCATCTGCCTCCTCTCTGAGGTTCTTTGCTTTCTTTCTTTTCTCTGTGGTATCAGATTGGCACTGAGTTCTTGCGTGGTGTCTCAGGGGGTGAGAAGAAGCGGTGCAGCATTGGCATGGAACTAATCACTGCACCTTCACTGATATTCCTGGATGAGCCAACTACGGGACTGGATGCCAACACAGCTAATTCCATCATGCAGCTGCTGCACCAGTGAGCCATTCTCTGTTTCTGATGCTCCACTCCATTAAGATCTTTGGAATTTCATTTTGATATTATCCCCCTTTCCATGCTCAAGCTGTCTCACAATGATCTAGCAAATCAACAGGTTATATACAGCATAGGCTCTGCATAAGTGGTTTGAGCATTGGCCTGCTAAACCCAGGGTTGTGAGTTCAATCCTTGAGGGGCCATTTAGGGATCTGGGGCAAAAACTTGTGGATTGGTCCTGCTTTGAGCAGGGGGTTGGACTAGATGACCTCCTGAGTCCCTTCCAACCCTGATATTCTATGATTCTATGAAAAGGCAGGTCAACAATAATGCATGCAGCCAGGCATATTAACACCTGTTTTGAGATAAAGCTATAGTCTGAAAACTAGGCTCACACCAGTTTCTTTTCAAATAGTACTCTGAGGCATTTAGTTTCCATCTAGACAGCCCTTAGAGACATAGGCAGCAAATACCTTAATGTGGCTTTGCCTCCAAAATACAGTTCAAATTAAGGCCTAAATTCTATCTGGCCTGGGACTGTGATATTTACCACGTGCTTCTTCTGTTTTGCAGACTCTCCAGGAAAGGAAGAACTGTGATTTTCTCTATTCACCAGCCACGTTATTCCATCTTCCGTCTGCTTGATCATCTAACGCTGATGAACAAGGGAGAAATCATTTATGCAGGACCGGCCGAAGAGTCCACTGGCTATTTCAACAGTATTGGTAGGGGGTGAGACTGCGGCAGGATGAGAATTATATTTCCTACTGCTACAGGACAGCTACACATGGGTGTTTGTTAATGAAACCCTTAACAGTAGCAGACAAGGTTTCTAGGTGCACAAACCTAGTGCAAATAAAAGGATGCACCAGGAGAACCTCGGTCAGACAGGCAAGCAGTTCACTATTCAAGGACATCATGGAAAATGGTTTTGATTCAAATCTTAACTGCATCCGCCAACTCACAGTGTGCAAAGGCCAACTTCATTGCTTCATGGTTGTGCTTTGCCCGACCCGTGCAAAAGAGCTGGATTTAACTCTGTCCAGGACTCTAACTCACAAAGAAAGCAGAGACTGGGTATATTTAGGAGATAGTAAAGTGGAGGAAGCAGACGAGGAAAACATAAGAAAGTGCTGCCCTACAGGGGTGCCATGTGCATCCTGAGGAAGAGGAATAACAGGCATCAATGCACAGCAACATATTTTAACTGGTCCAAGGAGAAGTGTAGATGGTTCAATTCACACGAGATTAGAAGACATACAGACGCATGATACATCGGGAAGACAGACAGGTCCATTTAAAAGAAACAAGAGGTTTATTTCAGGTTCCTTTGTGAGATATTGTGTTGACCAGTAAGTTAGTTGGTTTAGGAGTGAAGTTGGCTGTGAAGGACTGATCTGTGAGAGGGCCCAGCTGGTTGATGTGTTTTAAGAGAAGGCTGGTTTGGCTAAGGTAATTATTGTCGCTAAGGAGGCACTAGTTTGACATGAGGCTGGTTGGTTAATCTGAACGGTTCTTTGGCTCTCTGGGAAGGCGGGGTATGGGGCACTACAAAATGTTTGCGATGTAATTCAAAACCCTTGAAATGAAAGGTTTTTGCATTTTCTTCTTAATTTTTTTAAAGTCCTACTTGATGTAATTTTTTTTTTTTTTGCATTCAACATTAGAAGCATTTTTGAGTGGAAATAGGTTAATTGAAAATCTCAACATTTTTAATTGAATCAGGACAAATTATCATATTAAAATGTGTGAACTCAGATTTTCACAGGTTTTAATATGCAACTGTCCATTTTCCCAAAATCTCAAAAAGGAAAACTTCTGTGCCACAAAATGTCCTGAGACTAAACATAGTATTTTGGATGATATTTAGCACAGAGATTTTGTCATTTTCTCACATTGCTAGTTGGGTGTGAGGTTAGCTTTTATTTTCTCTTGTGATATGGTGTATTTCAGGTTACCAGTGTGAAGCATTTAACAATCCTTTGGACTTCTTCCTGGATGTCATCGTTGGAGAGATCATGCAGTCCCAGCCTAGTCCAGAGCTAGGTGAGTGCTGTAAAATTACATTGGCTGAGAAAGAGAGAGGTGGTGGTGAGACAGAAGCTAGGACAATGTCTTGCAAATCCACTTCAACAAAAAATACATCGGGATTGTAAAACAGAGGTAGCCAAACTTCTGCAGTGCCCATTCCAGCATTTAGCTCAGAGCCTGAACACAACATACTGGATTCTCCTCAAAATAATTCTTGTTCACGCATGGTGCTAATTCCCTTCTACCTCAATCACTTGCCAGTGTTACGCACATACAGATGCAGTCTCAGAGTAACATTTTTATGCTATATTTTCCCTTTAGCAAGCAGACCTGCCAAGGCATCATCGAATTCATATGCAGATTGCTGTGGTTCTTTTTGCTTTTCAGTTGTGTTTAAGGGTATGCAAATGGTGACTAGAAAGTTACTAGCAGTGATAAAAATGTGATTATTAGCAATCTTTGTCGCCTTTCTGGGAGTTGGCTAACACTTTCAAAATCCTTCAAAAGCAAAGTTGAAGCAGGAATGGAAAGTTTTGACCTGGGGCTGTCCCATTTTGTCTGCAGCCTTAGTGAGAGAGTCCGATTCTCATAGCAGCTCTTGTAGTGACAAGAATCCACTGCCCGTCTACTACCACAAGTCCCACTATTATGAGCAGCTGCAGGAAGAGTTGGAAAACCTACAGTCATTCAAGAGCCACCTCAGCGATGCAGTTCCAACAAAAGCCACCTATGCCACCTCATTCTTCCGCCAGGTGAGGGAAAAGGGAGGAAAATGCAACATAAAAGACACAAGAAAAGGAAGGTTTCAGGGTTTGTGGTCTTAAAGCAGCAATCAGTAGATTCTTGCAGAGGACCTTGTGAGACTTATTCACTGTGCAGCAATTCCAGTGAGACCTCGGAGTCTAAGACTTCATAGATATTAGGGTTGGAAGAGACCCCAGGAGGTCATCTAGTCCAACCCCCTGCTCAAAGCGGGACCAACCCCGACTAAATCCTTCCAGCAACATAAATATTCTTAATTTTTGTAACCACATAGGACCAGATTCAGGGATCCTGTGCCCTGGCCAATTAGCAAGTTGTGTGCTGAGTATCTCCACGAGGCCGCTGGGAGAAGAAACCCACTGAGTCACTCTACAGAGGCATTGGGCTGAAGCAGCTCTGCAAGGCCCCAGTTTTCCCTGCTCTAAGGAATGAAAACCAGAGGATTAACACAGCAGTGGATCCTCAGGATCTACTCCTCCTTACACTGTGCTGTGCAGGGAGACCCAATGGAGCTGGGCCGTGCGCCGCACTAGCCTCCCCTCATATTTAACCCCATTGTGCCGCAGACTTGCACAGGTGCCACTGCCAAGGAACCTCCACAGCCACAGAGTTGAACTTCTCCCTTAATGAGGAGCCTAACCCTGCTTTTCCTTTAGGAAAGCACATCCCCAGGTACTCACCTCAGAAGGTTCCCCTTCAGTAATTTGAGGTTGCAATGTACAGTGAAGAAGCAGGTACTTTTGCTGTCATGCTGGGGAAGGATTTCTATAGTCCATCATTCAAAATAAACTGTGAAATTAAGGAACAATTTAAGGCAGGTAAATTGAAAACTTTCCTTAAAAATAATATAATGGATGGAACAGAATAAACTTTTTCAGAGATACGTAAATTACATTATACAACATGAATCAGACCCTCGGCTGGTGTAAATTGGCATCACTTCATTAAAGTGAAGGCCACCATGCTGATTTACACCATCTAAGGATCTGGCCTGTATATTGATGGGGTTTATGTTTAATGTTACTGATCTTACAAAGTAACCGAGTACACTGAGTCGGGGGGGGGTGGGCAGGGAAAGTGAGGAAGATTAAAACAAAAATCAGAAAGGGAATGTTTACCTATGACAATGACTTCCATCTCAGGCACAGGCAGCCGGGAGTTGTAAAGAATGCACCACTGAGAGTGTGGTGTTAATTTTTTTAAATCATGAGAAAAATCAGATACGCAGTCTCTCTCTGATTGCAAATGTAATTCTGTGCGAGCAAATGTGTGAACAAATGACAAGAGCTTCAGAGCTCATTCTACTTCTATTACAGTCTTTGAAAATAAGGCAATGTTCTCTGACATGCACAGATGTACCCAATTCCTAACCTTTACACATATCATCACACCAAGATAACATATCTACGGGAAAGGAGGGCAGTTTAAAAGCCTAACTAAGTACCAGAAAATTATGTATTAGAAGTCAGATACCTTAAAAAAAACACCTTACCGTATTCTACAGTAATTATCCAGAATACTGCAGTTTACCATTGCTATAGTGCACTGAACTACTACTGAAGATGACTGAAGTATTTTTAAATAAGAATAGCTATGTGGAGATACATATGTAAAACATGTATGCTCTAGGGCAGTGGTTCCCAAACTTGGGATGCCACTTGTGCAGGGAAAGCCCCTGGCGGGCCGCGCCGGTTTGTTTACCTGCTGAGTCCACAGGTTTGGCCGATCGTGGCTCCCACTGGCTGCAGTTCGCCACTGCAAGCCAATGGGGGCTGCGGGAAGGAGCACAGGCTGAGGGATCTACCAGCCATCGCTTCCCACAGCCTCCATTGGCCTGGAGCAGAGAACCGCGGCTAGTGGGAGCCGCATTTGGCCGAACCTGCAGCGGCAGGTAAACAAACTGGCCCATCCCACCAGGGGCTTTCCCTGAACAAGCGGCCTCCCAAGTTTGGGAAACACTCCTCTCAGGTGTTGAGTGGCTTGGCATTGTTCCAGAGTAAAGGTGAATGGACAATTGCTGCAGACAATGGAGAGACTGTTTCTCTGACATTTGCCTGTGTCTGGTTTAGAAGCCATCTTTATGAAAGTGAGATTGATGCGAAACTTTCCAGATTATATTCTCCACTAGAGGCAGGCTCCCTAGCTACAGCTTGCACATAATAGTCAATGGGAGCTTGGGAAATCCCAAGTACTTGGTTTCAAAGAATTCATATCGCACCAATCTGAGGCTGTTGCCTTGTGGATATTGCTATGCACCTGCCATGCATGGTGTGTGGGGATGGGTCATAGTTCCAATCAATTAGAGCAGGCACATCTTGGGAGGGCTCAGTCTTGCTCAGTGTCTGGGGCGGGAGGTTGAGCATCATTTCACTCAAGAGAAATCCCTGTGAAGAGTGCAGTTGAAAGGAACTTGCAGCTAGTTTCCTTTGCTAGGATGGATGGTAGCTTCAACATGCAGTTTTGAGCATGGAGAAAGCAGGGGAGAAAACAAAGAGAACATCAGGATTCAAACATCAGGGTTGTAAAGAATCCTCAATAAAAAATAAAGTCCAATGGACTGGCCTGGGATATTTCAAGGAGGAGATTTAATGTATGTATGTATAAATTATGCACTCATGTATGTTCCCTTAGCTGTATGTTGTGAGCAATCGCAATGTGAAGAACATCCTGAGGAATCCTCAGACATCCATTGGTCAGCTCCTTTTGGGCACTTTCTTCTCCATATTGGTGGGGCTCATTTTCTACCAAGTACCAGCCACTCTGCCTGAAGCCTTTCAGAACAGGTGAGAGAAAGAACAGAATCTTTAGTCCCTTCCTCCAGCTGGTAGTCTGAGGGAGGATGGATGGATAGATGAAAGGAGTGGCTCACTTCCAGAATGAATGAAGAGATGCAGACAAGTTCCTTTCAAGTAGCCCAAGTGAGCATAATATCCTGGGACACCCAAGGAGTTAGGAGAGGGAACCTGATATGGAACCAAAATCTGCTGAAGACATCAGGGAATATTCCCAGTAGGGAGGACAGTGACAGACTCAAAAATTTTCCACCTGTAACTGAACACTTACCTTGGTGAGGACCTGATTCCCAAACCTAACTTCCAAGGCAGTATAATGTGAGAGCCGTAAAAAGCATGAGAGAACTCTCTGCCCTTTGTATACAAGTCCAGCAGAGAACTCCAAATAAATCTCTTTTCCTTTTCTTCCCTTCTCTGCAGGTTAGGAGCTTTCTTCTTCCTGGTCATCAATCAAGTCTTTGGGAATCTGTCTGCAGTGGAGCTCTTCATCAATGAGAGAAAACTCTTCATGTGAGTGACTCTAAAACTCCTTCAAATCAAAATGCTGGAAACAGGCATAAACAGGCTGTGGCTGCAGAGTTTGCTGCAGATCTACCCACCACCACAGAATTGTGCTCCAATAATTAAGCCCTCCCAAAATTTCAAATCATGTCCACATCTGTCTAAAAAAGGAAGGGAAAGAGAAAATGAATCACCACTCCTAATGCCAAAAGCCTCAGATGCCTTGTAGATGTCAGATCCCAAACTATTTCCAATGCCTTCCCAAGATGCCAAACGCCCCATCTGTTCCTTGTCCTGTTACCGAAATCTTCACCTTCCCCCAACAGCTTTTACAACAGTTATGCATTTTCAACACCAAAATCAGCAGCACCTTAAAAACTAAAAATCTGTGGCAGCGTGAAATGTCTTGATTTTGACATCAAAATAAAAAAGACACAGGAATAACGAATAGATTGTATTATTCATTTTCAGGTTTCACTCATTTAAAAAAATTGTGCACTTTTTCTAAACCTCACCACAGAATTTCCAGATTTCAACACCAGAACACCTCAGAAATAAGGATGTCACAGAATTTAGGTCCAGCTGGACCTTAGAAATGGCCAGAAGATCATGAAGCTAAGAAAGTCTGGCTCAGCTCCCAACTTTAAAATGCTCAGTATTATTTCAAAACAAATACAATCATAGCCAATTGAAATCTATACATGCAAATATAAGGACACTCTGTTCGGTTAATCACAGTATAGCATGCAAGTAGCATCTACAGACATGGCAGAATAACAGCAGAATGGACACATTTCAGAAAGAAAAGACTAAATACAGGAAAGGTGCAGTTTCTACATTCTACTCTGGAGAAACCACGATGGCGGGAAAGAAAGGAATTGGATATTTGAGGAGAGCGAGGACGGGGTGACAGAAAAGGGAAAGATTACTTTGAAGAAAAAAAGAGAGTGTGTGTATTTGTGTGTATTTGGGGCATGTTCATCTAAGAACTTAAGGTATAATCCTACATAATTTGCAATCAATGAAAGTAAGATAGAGCCCTGCCTTGAATAGGAGAAATTGTATTACTGGATTCTGAAGCAGACAAGAAGCTTGAAGCTGGAGAAGATTTCTGATGTTTTCACATTTCTAGATATGGATGAAGAGACTGGCCACCACATTTTGGACAAATTGAAATTTGGGTCAGAGGAAGACCACTGAAGGAAGGAGGAAGTTACAAGCAGTAAGACGAGAGGAGATAGAAGCATGGAGGAGAGTTTCATCAGAGGAGAAGTCAGGATAGAATCATATGTGGTGATGTTTTAGATGTGATAGGAAGATTTACAGACTAGGAAGAAACAGGAGGCAGAAATAGTAGAAGATAAAGCTGAATGCATATGTTTATGAAAGTAAGGGTAAATGAGAGAGGTGTATCAAAGATGAAGATGAAGGCAATAGTTTTTCTTCAGGATGTTGTGCTTACTAATTATTTAATGGCATATCTGTTTGGAGATGAAGAAAGTTCTGATGGAGACAGAAGTTGATGAAATTGAGGGAGAGAGAAGTAAGGAAAGGACTGAAATACTAAAGTGGTTATAGAGTTATATCTCGTAAATGTATGAAGTAGCTCTTTGATTTTCAATGTTTTTATTTATTGCATACATTTTTCCAGACATGAGAGCTCCAGGGGATACTACAGGACCTCAGCATATTTTCTGGCCAAGGTGTTTGCTGATTTGATTCCCAATCGTATCATCCCCTTGTTGATGTTCTCTGCCATATCGTACTTCATGATGGGTAAGTACTGAATTTCCTGTAGCTCAGCACCTCTTTGAGGAAGTGATTCAGGACAAAAATCACCATGGGAAAATGCCACAAAAACTTTGGGGGTAATATCAAACTCTGGCAAGTCTGAAATGTCATATTGCACAGATTTTTGTGGTGATTGTGCTTTGTTATTAATTTTTGCCGTTAGGTCACATTGCTCATAATCAGAGGTAAAAAATTCTCTTTTTATGTACAAACTTTGTATAGAACTTCCTAGGATGCCTCTATTCATTATTTTTTCTTCCCCCCCCCTCCAATAATAAGACACCCACACACAAAATCATCTTATTTCTAGTATACCACTAGCTCTGACTCCAGTTGGTTGCGTTTTCACAAAGCAGTGCTGTATCAGTTCCCGACAGGACTCCAGCAGTGTGGCCTTCTAAGTTTCCCCCAGAGCTTAGCGAACAGTGCAGGAAAATCAGTCAAATGATCTCAATATTTGAGACATGTGAAGAGTTAAACAAACCCACACAGCCAAACTGCTAATTTTAGCATGATTATATACACTAGGATGAAAACAGGCCCAGATTTCTAGTAAATAGAAACATGTTGAGGGATGCACTCTCTAGCTGCTCTTTAGTGGTAAATCTGGCACTCAGAGCCCCACCCTGCAAACTCCTCATGGATTCACTGAGCTTTGTCATAACCATGCCCAAAATACAAACCAAAATTTAGTAATGGGAGATTTCTCACAACATTGTCCTGGAGGGATACGCTATGGATCCAGCACTGAAAGCATCCCCACTGCAGTGCTTGTTATGAAGCCTTTAATTCCAGAAAATGCCAAGTTGGAGTCCTGTGGCGGGAACCACCTTAGCCTGTAGCAGTTCCATGGCAATGCCAGTTATGGATCCAGACCTTTCCACAGTACTGAGTCACTTTCTCTCTGTCCCCATACACAGGTCTGAAACAGGATGCAGGATCTTTCTTCCTGTATGTTCTTTCCCTCAGTCTGACAAATCTGGCAGCCGTGAGCATGGCCTTCCTGGTGAGCGCCAGCGTCAGCACCTTCGCCATCGCTAATGTCTTAATCGCACTGCCTTTCGTCTTCATGATGGTGAGAACTTTTTATCCACTCAAGGGCAGCCTTGCAGGGTGTACAGCGCCTACTGGAATCAGAGATGGGCCGAAATCTCAACGTTCAGTTCCGATCCGGATTTCAAATATCCCATATTCCAGGGGTGCTCAGATCTGAAGAAAGCAAGATACAGAGCAACTGTAGCTATAAACAATATGTTATTAGTACAGCTGGTCTAAGCGGAGAGGTCTGGTCTGAGCACAAGACAGGCAGTCAGCAATGCCTGAGTTCTCATTCTGCCTCTGCACCTGTCATGTTCCTGTACCAGGTGTGGACTGGCTACTAGAGCTTACTCATGCACACAGATGTGATCATCATAAGATCCTTTACCACTCTGCCAGGTATGGCTGAGGTTAGTGTAAATAAGGTACAGCAGAACCCCGTTTATCTGATCTAATTGGGACCAGAGCCAGATTGGCTAATCAAAAATTTGGATAATTCGGAGAATGGGAAATTGTGAGGCTGCAGCACCATCTAGGGCCACAGGAAAGATTGCCCGCTTCTGGACCTGTGTGCGCTGGTTGTTGGGTTAATATGGAGAGCCGGATAATGGAGGGTCGGATAAACAGGGTTCTACTGTATTTTGTACACAGCGCCACCTAGTGGCTGAACAGCATAGTACAGTTTAGAATTCCATTACATCGCCCCCTTTAAGTTCTATATTCTTACCATTTACAATATTTACACTGTCGCATTGTCTTTGAAATTCAGTACATATCAGTCTGCTAAGTGTGTCTGGTTATCATACTGGTTTTCTAATTATATGACCCAAATGTGTAACAATTTGGTCATCTAGCTGTCTGTTAGTTTCAATGACAGGCTGTAGTTGGTTTGGAATCCTTGAGTATTCTCTTATTGTTCTGCATCTGCCATCTGTACAGTTTGCTCTGCTGATTTTTCTTTCTGAGGAAAGAAACTGTAGATGTTGATGGTCTCTGCTGAACTCTCCGTTGTCAGTCTCAATCACATATAATCTGTGTGCTGGATTCTTTTTCTTTACAAGAGCTGGAGCTGTTCATCCTTTTTCTCCGTCCAATTTGACATGAACACAGTCACCAAGTTGTAGACCTGGAAGTCCTCTAACTGAACGATGTCTGTTGTAAAAGTGTTCATAAACTCTTTTAGACTTTTTATCTGACTTGGCTACTCTCTTCATGTCTGGGCACTTTGTTCCGGTTTTGGAAAAGACTGTATCTACAATCATTCTGAGGTATCTTACCATCAGGAGTTGTACTGGACTATATCCAGTAACCACTATTGGTGTTTATCTGTAACTCAGAAGAACAAGAAACGGACCTTCCAGCTGTAGGATTTTCTTGGCTATCCGTATAGCTCTCTCACCCGTTCCATTCGCTTGTGGGTAACATGGACCGCTAGTAATATGGTCAAAAACATATTTCATTTGGATTCAGTTAAATTCTGTTGCAGTGAACTGTGGTCCATTGTCTGTCACTAGCTGTACTGGAATACTGAAGTGAGCAAAAGTGCATTTGAATTTCTCGATAATACTGCGACATGTTAGATCTTTCAAGTACATTATTTTTATATATCTGGAAAAATAGCCCACTACAACCAGGTAATGATGTCCTCTAAATTTGCATAAACCCTGCAGCTAGTTTCTTTCAAGGTTTCTCTGCTAGTAGTGTTTGTACACTGTATGGTTCAGTATTACCTCAGGTTGATTTGTACTAGATGTCCTTTCAACAGTACAATATCATCAAATCCTCCATCAGGTTCTTCCATATTTTTCACTAGGCCCATCATGGCTGCCACACTGCAGCTGCAAAGTTTGTTGGTCTTTGATCCTTTAGTCACATGCACTCTGAATGCATAGCTTTTGTCTATTGTGGTAAATCCAGGACAAACAGTGTGGTAAACCGAGGACAAACAGCTACAAAAAAGGGAGGGGTAGTAATTAGTCCCAGGGGATTAAAAGGCCTTTCCTTGTCCCCTGAGGAGATAACCAGGGGGAAATAAGGTTCAGCTGGAAAAGGGGTTGCTAGGGAGCTAATTAGGTTCAGCTAGCTCCAACTGCTGGAGTCCTTTTTAAACCCTCCCCATCCTGGACGGAGGGGGGCAGGAGTGAGAAAAGCAGGGATGCTGCCAGTAGGCTAAGGGCAGCAAGACACCGAACCCTTCCAGGAAGGGAGGCTGCACTCCCTCCCCAGAAGGGAATGAAAACAAACACAAGGGACTGATCAGGGAAAGGAATAACTAGATCCTGTGCTATCTGTAAGGATTTGCCTTGCCCAAGCAGGTGTCTCCAAGGCTAACAAGGACTGAGTCTGCTGAGGAGAACAAGGTACTTTGCCACACTGTGTAGGTTGTTTCTGTGGTGAATTGGACCATGCAGTTCAGAATACCTCCAGGGCTAGTCAGAATTGTGTCTTGTCATCTCTACAAGAGGTTAAAGGTGATTGTAAGTCCCTTCTGAGATAATGTCATTGGCTCCTGAGATAGTTTTAAAGTCAACAGTCTTGTCCTGAATATTAAATTCACTCTGCATGCAGGCTCTGGCATCACAAGTGATATATCCAAGAAACAATGGCTCTTGTTTGTCTGTAATATGAGTCAATTTCCAGACTGCTTTGGTGTGATGAAACACCTGCAACATGTCCATATTTCCTGTATGTATTACACTGTGTGCATCTGTCTGGACATGCATCATCTCTTGGTAATTTGTCCCTCATAGCCTGGGAGTTCTTGCTCTTTGCTTCAGGGGTTTTATGGTAAGGACTTTTAACACTCAAGTGTATGAAAAACTTGAAAAACCTGAAACTAGCTTAGAAACTGAAAACAAATTTCTCTGTTTTACTGTGTCACCATTTTAGACTGTTTTGCTATTTCAGTAGCTGTGGTTAGGGTTAAATCTCTCTTCAACTATAGCTGCTGTGAAAGGCTTTTTTCGGTTAACCCAATAACCAAACCATCCTGTCTCTGGTATTTTTTGTTTTGCATTCCTCAAATCCAATGTATGCAGAGCTCTTAACATTTTCCCTGGTTCTTGAATTCTCAGGTGAAAACTTGCTCTTTCATAAACCACATTTCTCTGAGGTATAAAGCATGCATCAAACATAGCCAGAACCCTTTCAGAGTCATCTTTGTGACTGTCTTCAGTAAAGTAAAAAGATTTAAAGATATGTTCTACCTGTTTCCCCATAGCATAAAGGTGATTTGATACCTGTATATTTCCAGTTTCTTTGTGCAGCTGGATAGCAATATGAAGTCTTGCAGAATATAGTTTCCAGTCTGTCAAAGCTGAAGTTCTCTGGGGCATTAAAGAGTGGCATGTTGGTGAGATCCTGCAACCTTTGTTGCTATTTTCCCTCTGTTTCTGTTCTTAGTTTACTCCATATACCATGTCACATTCCTGTACCAGATATGGACTGGCTACAGAGCTTGCTTATTATACACCCCAGATAAGTTAATCATAAGATCTTTTAAGGCTCTGCCAGGTATGGCTGAGTTTAGCTTAAATAAGGTATTTTCATGCAGCAGCACCTAGTGACTGAACAGTATAATACAGTTTACGGTTCCATTACCATACCTGTGATCTTAAGTAAGTCGCAAAGTCTCTGACTCAGTTTTTCCACTTGTAAATGAGGTAATCCTTACCTATTTCAAATGGGTGATTTGAGATGTTTGTTAAATATTTGTAAAGCAGTTTAAAAATGGAAAACATTACAGACTTTTTAACTTCTCACACATATTGTACGAAAAATATGCATGTTTGTATTCTATGTCCTTCGTAACAGTCTAATGGTATATTATTCTCCCCACTAGGATGTATGATTAGAAGAGGCTTCAGTCCATGCTTTAATGGCCTTTGTATTTTTTATTGTAATACATTGCACAATACAAACAACTGGAGATGCCTAAAACGCTATATTCTAAAACAACTAAAGACATTTCTTATGGAAAAAGTAGTTTCTGAACACACACATTAGCTACTGTTCTAAGCTAATCATTTTAAATGAAAGCTACTAGTATTAGGAAGTCCTAGTAAACTTTAGGGACAAAGAGTCCGAAAAAATATTTTACAAAACAATTTTTAGCTAATAAATATACTAGTAATCTTAAACTAGATTTTTTTTAAACAACGCAGAAATTGGGTAAACATCCGTAGCATTGTTGTTTTCCTACTCAGAAGATAGTGGATAGGAACACCATATATTTGATAAAAAATAATTTCTCTATTCTTCCTTTCATGAATGAGGGCTACTATTTGGCTCAAGATGTCTGGTACTGAGGAACAACTCCCAAGCACTTTGGGGGACAAGCATATAGTTAATAATATGTTCTACACTGTTTTTTTGCACTGTCTCCTACAGGTCTTTGGTGGGTTCCTTGTAAACCTGAACTCCATGCTGAGTTGGCTGTCCTGGATCAAATGGATCAGCATCTTCCATTACGGAATGAATGTGAGTCACAGCCCTCACAAGGGAGATGTGGCAAAGTACAAAACAACAGGTTCAAAAGTAAAGTGAACTTCATCCTCCAATTGCTAAAATTGTGTCAGGGCATCACAGTCATGCTGCATTTCCCAAATCTCTTCCATACTGGGACCACCCTCTATTCAAAGGTTGGAAAGGGACCACAACCAAAATGGAACATTCCATGTCTCTGGGAAGGAAATTCTGTTCTTGCTATATAGTTTATTCATCTGCCATTTCCTAACAGATGAGATTTTTTTAAACATATGTTTCCTGTTTTAGGCCCTGACCATCAATGAGCTCACAGGAGCAGTTTTCCATTTGAACTCTTCCATGTAAGTACTCACTCTGTTCACCAACCACCAAAAACAACCCAAAGGAAGGTAGAGGCTGTCATATCGGACATACTTCACCACAGGGGTGCATACAAGCATTCAATTTATAGAGTATTTTTGGATATACAGGAGTCTGACATACCACACAGGTACCCAATGGAGTATAAATAGAGGAGGCCATGATGTCATATCTGTTGAAGGAGAGGCTGCAGTGTCAATACATATTCAGTGAGCCAATGTTTAACTAACTTATAAACAGGAAGAACGGTACACAGGAATATCCTGTAATAAATACTACACATTAGAGGGAGCTGTTAGTCATTCCAATATATAACAATATTCTTCCAAAATCTCTAACTTCACCATTTTTAAAATGTTCTTTTAACACAATGTGTCTTGCATAAAGGGTACAAAATGCTTTAGTAACATTTCTTCACATACTAGTAAATATAACCTTAAATGCTGCACTAAATATAAACCGCACCACAGGTAAGATTTTCAGAAGTGCTCAAGAAACTTGAGTACTTTTCTGAATCTCACCCAATATGTATAATCTAAAATTATTTAAAATGCATAGGTAGATGTCTTTAACTAGTAGTGGTTTTTTTATTCCTTGTGTACAATATTTTTTCCCCTTCTGAAGTGTGATAGTCAGTGCAGTGTCTCCAGTTATCTCTTTCTTCCCTCACACAAGGGAAGGTGAATCTGTAAATGTCACTAGATTTCTCTATTGTAAATCAGCAGGCATGGTAATAAAAGAGTCACTGTAATTATTAGGTTAGAATTTGGTTCTGGCTGTTCCTCATGCAGATAACCTGTACCTCCACACCAAAATTTGTTAGGACAGATGCAAGACATAGGCACTTTCAGGAAACAAAGAACATGGATATCACAGAAGTCACCTATCTGGAAGTACAAAGCATTTTCAGACCAGAGAAATACATGGCGGGCATTTTTAGGCAACACAGGAGGCATATAGCAAGCGAACAACAAGATCATATTAAGCATTTATGGAACTTAGGGATTGACAGGCCACATATGGGACACCACAGAGGTTCATGCAGATTGGGCCCACAGGAAGTTCATAGCGGGATGTTACAGGAGCATATGTATTATGGTTAAAGTACTTACAAACACTTAATGGCTCACCTGGGAACTCACATAGTCAGATCATCAGTACTTAGAAGGGCTCATTATAGGAACTCACTAGGCAGGACACATAATACACCCTTACAGAAGTTATATACCTTGATAAAACATCAACAGCTACTGTAGAATTACAGAATACACAGAGACATACAATAGGCCCATTAAAAACCAGTACAATGCCCCATTAACAAGGACAGCTCATTTATTTAGAAAAACCAGGTTCATTTGTCAAGGGTCTTCTAGGCATCTGAACATAGACTACATCTCTTCATTCAGGGAGCATCCAGGTGGGTGGGTCAAGGCTGGCAGCTGTCCACAAGAGCAAATGCATCACTTCCATAACATGCCTTATCTACTGCAGCCCACAAGCAGAAGGCTTCACCACAGTTGCTTCCAAGCAACTGTAAAGAGAAGATGGCACTCTCTGAATGAAGCACTGCAGTACTTCACTACAGGGGTTATCATAGAGCTAGATGTTGCAGAAAGTTAACGCACTCCATTTTTCACTAATTAGTAGCTATTGTGACTAATTACACAAATTAAAAGAGCTAGTGAGTTTGGTATTCTCCAGATAGCCTCCAGGGAGCAGCCTTTGTCCAGGAGAAGTTCAGGGCAGGATCACAGTGCATTGACAGAGCCACGGCTCAGACTGGAATAACTTGAAGTGACAACCTTGCAAGGTCAGGACCTAGTTGCATTAGCAAAGCTGTGGGAAAGGAACAGAAGGAGAGACTTGCACAGTGCCCTCCTTTGCTACACCTGGTTCTAATTAATACGTTCACACTTATCACCACTAAAACTTATCTTCATAACATTTCACATAAAACCAATTGTGTTTTATTTGTTTGAACAGTGCCGAACACCCGTGTCTGTTTGTTGCAGGGTCCCTGGAGAGGTGTACTTGCAGCAGCAAGGCATCAACTACAGCACCTGGGGCTTGTGGGAGAATGAGGTTGCTCTCCTGTGCTTGTCACTTGCGTTCCTGTTCTTTGCCTACATCCAGCTGTTAAGAGTGAATCGCTGGAAGTAAAACAGGCAATTTCCAGCTACATTCCACCAGGGCAGCAGTCATGCAGAGTTCACCTTGGCCCCTGCTATCAGTATAGTCTTGATTTCAGATACCTCCTGATTTGTGCAGTTCTTCCCTTCAGTCACCAGAAGGCTGTAAATGCAAAGTTAATTTGACCAAGACTGACAGATTGGAAAGTGTCAACATATGTGTAAAAACATTCATTAAATACAAATGTATTTTACCTTTTAATGTAGAAAATGGTCAGATAAACTTATAACAATCCATGGCCCATAATAATCAGCTAACCTCACACAAGTGTGGTTAACAGAACACAAGATAGTTTTCTGCTAAAACATAGGACAAGCCACAAACCCCTTAGCTAAAGGAGAATTGTCTCTAGCTACCAATAATTATTCTTGCATTTTCATCCTTACTACACAAATTCTTGATTATGCTTTGGTCATCATTTGCTATGACTACCCCAACTTTTCTGGCCATCCCACATCTCAGCTCATCACTAACTATGCAAAATACCCCAATCATCCTTATATCACTTTACCTCTTTATAACTTTGTGCTGGCTGTGATGCTGGCAGACCAGGGGTCAGCAAACACCAAGGTCCCCATGCCTCAATTGAATACTGACAAATACATAGTTGAAATCAGCCTGGCTTACCTGTGTGTTTATATTGTTAAAAATACAGATTAGAATTATAAGAATGTGTTTAGACTTTATAGAATGCTTGTGAGTTGCTGCATGCATTAATCTCACTTAAAACATCTGTATCCCATATTATAAGGTAATATTTGAGCATTTGCACTGTAAGCCTCTATAACTGCGTAAATCATGAGATAGGAGAGAGACATTAACTAGTGTGAAATGCTAGTCTCCAACGGAAGGTGTTATGTCCTGCCCAACAAGGAAGGCCCATCAACACCAGACAGATTGAGTAGAACATTAAAAAGGACAAAAGAATTTTGTTGTTTACTCTCCTTCCACCCATGAAGATGAATCTTGCAAGTGAATTCCTCCCATCAGCTAAATTTGCAGCTCAAAGCAGAAGGGGGAACAGGAATAAAAGCCCTAACAAGGAGGAACTGTATCTCATTGCTCCTTGGACTCTAGTGGCAAGGTTTATAGGCATAAGCAAGGAATCCTCAGCTGCTAAGTCTGAGTTAGCCCTAAAGGACAAAGAGCTTGCTTATTACAAAAGTGTTTATTATGTTTTGAAATTTAAGATTGGAACTCATTTATCTGTATATGTTTATCTGCTTTAACCTTGTAAATAACTCTTTAATTTCCTTTTCCTATATAATAAATCTGTGTATATTTTATTATCGGATTGGCTACAAGCATTCTCTTTGGTGTGAGATGTAAGGTGCAAATGACCTGGGGTAAGTGACTGGTCTTTTAGGAGTGGAAGTAACCTAAATATTGCTGATTCGTGATATAAGGGACCATCTATCACAAAGGCAAGCTTACCTAAGTGACAAGGTAGATTGGAGTACCCAAGAGAGCTGTCTGTGACTCTTATAGTGCCTGATGAGTTTGTACTTGATAATTGGTGGGTGAAATCTAAGTATGGAAGTCACAGCTAAATTGGGGTTTGTCGACTAGCTCTTAAGTCTGCCCTGAGGTTGGTACTCTGCTGGTCAATCTGACATTGGCTTCCTCTCGCTTGCCACAATAAGTTCAAGATGTATGTCCTGATGTTCAATACCATGCCCCTACCTTCCTTCCTTCATTGTTTTCTGCTTCCTGATTTTGTTTAAACCCCTCCAAAATGTCCCTTTTTATCCTTCACCAGTACTCATCTTGATTCCTCTTTTCAAGATGCCCCTTTCATTTACAATTCCTTCTGTCTCTTTATTCAAATCCTTCTTTAAAACACACCTTTCCCCTTAAACTTATCAAAGATGACCCATCAGAGACAGATGTGTGCAACTCAATAAATATCAGGAAAAACTTAATGGCACTAAGATCTATAAAACTGAAATAATCAGAAATATTTAACACTGGTCTGAACAGAACTCTAGAAAATGTACTGTAGGAATGATCCTACTGACACAGAGTAGACTGGATGATCCAGTAGGAGTTTCCCCCCTCTAATTCCTATGATAGTAGCTTAAAATCAAGTTGGACATTTCTGGCACAAATTTCTGGACCCTTGAAGAAATATGGAGCTTTCTATATTAGATACCCCTGGTAAATGAGAAAAGCTAAGAAGAAATTAGTGGGAAAATGCAGGAGGAGGGCAGAGAGAACAAGAGAAGTGAATGGAAAGGAAATAAACAGGAATGGGAGAAGAAATAAGGAGAAAAAAGGTGATGCTGGATTTTTGCCATGCCACTTAGAGTATCAACAACACCACACTCACAGAAAAAAGGGAAGGGTTCATGAAGGTAAAAACAAAACACCAGAAAAAGATTTCTTGGCCTAACACTTGACTTTTATTTATTTGCAGAACCCAATTATATCTTCACCTTTTGCCTGTGAGTATGACAGGGGTTGGAAATACTACAGAGAAGGCACTCAGACAAAAAATGGATATTTTTCCTCAGTCAAAAAAGGCCAAGATACTATGCAGACTATTGACATCCAAATCTTCAAAATTCTCAAGAAAAAACGGGTTCTGTTGCTGTTTAAAAATCTTATTACTTCAGGTAGTTGAATATAACACCACAATATAGCCCCTACTCCTACAGCTGCATAACAACTGAACTTCTCTGCACTTGCCTGAGAGTTCATGAAAAATAGACTAGAGAGAGATTTTTCTTGTCAGTATCTCAAATCTAGTAAAGTTAATGATCGAACAGATCCCCTTTAAAACTATAATCGAAATCAGATTTAAATAAGGCAGGAGTGGGCCAACTACGGCCCGCAGGCCGGATCCAGACCGCAAGCTGTTTTAAGCCGGCCCGCAAGCCCCCACTGGGGAGTGGGGTCTGGGGCTTGTCCCGCTCCAGCCAGGGAGCAGGGTCGTCAGCCGCTCCACATGGCTCCCAGAAGCAGCGGCATGGCCCCTCTCCAGGCAGGGCGCAGGATCAGGAGCCGCGCCACATGGCTCCTGGAAGCAGCGGCATGGCCCTGCTCTGGCGCTCCAGACGGGGAGCAGAGTCAGGGGCCACTCCACGTCCTGCTCCAGCTCCTACTTGGCCCCCTCCGGCGCTCCAATGGGGGCTGCAGTGGCAGTACCTGCGGACAGGGCAGCGTGCAGAGGCGCCTGGCCACGCCTCCACGTAGGAGCCAGAGAAGGGACGTGCCACTGCTTCCGGGAGCCGCTTGAGGTAAGCGCCGCTGGGAGCCTGCATCCCTGAGCCTTCTCCCATGCCCCAACCCCTGCCCCAGCCCTGATCCCCCTCCTGCCCTCTGAACCCCTCCATCCCAGCCCAGAGCACCCTCTTACACCCCAAACTCCTCATCCCCAGCCCCACCCCAGAGCCCTCACCCCGTCCCCATCCCCCACTCCAGCTCAGAGCTCCCTCCCACACCCTGAACTCCTCATTTCTGGCCCCACCCTGGAGTCCATACCCCTAACCAGAGCCCTCAACCCCTCCTGCACCACAACCCCAATTTTGTGAGCATTCATGGCCTTTCATATAGTTTCTATTCCCAGATGTGGCCCTCAGGCCAAAAAGTTTGCCCATCCCTGAAATAAAGTGTTTGTTGTTTAAAACAAATCATAAAATTTATTGTTTATGAGAACAATCCAATTTAAAAATGAAATATCTGCACATAACAGAACAACTCCAAAAATCAATAGGCAATCTAGTTAATTTACTTAGAGGGGAAAATACAAGATTTACAAAATTTAAATTAGCCAAACATTCAATAACTCTCATACAAAATCTGTACAGTAATAAACTGCATTAAAAAGTTTGTCAAAGCGTTACCTGACTGACTCAAACACTAGTGTATACCTACATTATTAAAAGGCACAAAAGATTCATTTATGAAAGTGTGCTGCATTACATGCAGTTATATTACATCATTAAATCAGTCACTAGGGTTGCTGAGTTTCCAGGACTTAAAGATTAATCTTTAATTAAAGTTTATGTCATGCGATGAAACCTCCAGGAATATGTCCAACCAAAATTGGCAGCCCTAGTCAGGACCAGCATGAAAAAGTTATTAAACATGTATTTGATGTTACAATTTAGCTCAATATAGAAAGACACACAAGTCTCCCTTCTGATTAGGAATCAATACGAAAATACAAACATTTAAATATGTCAAACTAGAATACAAAAGCTCTTTCAAAAAAGTTTAGCTCTGAGTGTTCCCAACATAAAGCATTCCTCACCACAGATCTTTCAGTAATCATTAGAAAAAGTTCAGACAACCACTGTCAAGCAGGGTAGGCCCCTGGGCTTGTGCTTTGAGGGTAGGTCTACACTGCAGTTAACCATCCACAGCTAGCCTGTGTCAGCCTTGGAGGCCATTTGCTGCCTTAGAGATATAAATGAGGACAGGATGGGAGACAGAGGGCCTGTGTTAGAGGCAAACAGCCACCTGGGCAGCAGAGTTGGGGAAAGCTCCAAAATAAATGTTTGAACACACTGGATTACCTGGCCCACGTTTCAATTAGCATGAGATTTAGCACTCTCCAGGGTATGAAATGCCCCAGAGTGCACAGCTTGAGAAATCCTGTGAAAATTCAAAGCACACTCAAAATTGAAATACACAGGAAAAGCAGTTAAGAACACATGGTGAGAGAGTTAAGGTTCTGTTTTTGAAGTACACGTTTTTTTAAAAAATCGGAAAGGTTTACAGATTAATTAGCTCAAGATCTTTAAGAGCTGCAGAAATACATACAATCCACAACACAAGATTTGTTTTTTTAAACAGCACTTGAGGTCTTGCATGGCAGCTACGTTACTCAGGATAACACATACAGCAACCTGTGCCTGCAAATTCAGTTTCTGATTTCTGCTGTGTTTCTTGTAAAAGACCCTCATTATGTTTGTATTCAGCAATGATATCTTCTACGCGAGTTATGTAAAGTAAAGATAACAACACTCCAAGGAACTGTAAAATAAAACAGCAAATATAAATAGGAGACAAAGTACTGCTTATCCAACACCTCTCACTCTACATTTTCATATATAAAATTTGGGGCACCAAGCCAGTGCAATCTTGGGGAAGGGAAAATCCACATTTGGGGGAATGAAGGACATATATTAATGACCAGCTGATTTAAAAAAAAAGACAACAGTGGCTGTTTGAAACCACTCTGGGGTATGGAATGTTAGAATAAGTCTTAGTGGAGACAGATTAGTGGGCAGAGTTCAGGTGAGGTGATTAGGGTCATGAAAAAATGCAAAATATGACATTGCTGTCACTAAATCAGTGGGACTCTGTACAGGCACAAAGGTCCAGCCACATAAGTTTACAGAATACATAAACTTTAAGTAAAAATGTATTTTATTAACTATAAAATCAAATCCCATTTTGTTTACCAAAGCAATGAACCAAATATTCCCTTTAACGGACAATGTAATGGCCTAGCCTTACCTGGGGTAACAATATGCCAAGCATGACACCAGCCATGATACTGTAGTTGTCTAAGAACCAAATGAGTACTGCATTTGTGCATCCTCGGATATATATAATGTCTTGAACACTCAGGCGCTGTAAAATAATGAAATATACCTTCAAACAACGGTTTACTTAGATGAGAACAGAGATATATTTTTGGAATATAAAGGGTCAAATTCTATTTCATTCACATCCACGCAAACCCTCTGAATTTGGCACAGAGGGCTTATCACCAACTCTCAGATAATGCATTCTAAAGTTTTTCAAGGCTAAACAAGTGCTTTTTACATTCCATTTATACTTTGCTGAAAAAAATATACCTGATCCTAATTTTAGACCATATGGAATACAGAGGTATCTATCCACCCTTTCATTCCTACTTTCCAAGCTGCTTCTGCTGGAATACTAAAAATACAAAACCATAGCCAAAGTGCAATAGGCTCCAAGTAGGCTGGAGACAAAAGAATATAAGGCTCAATCCTACAAGATTTTGAGCACTCTAGACCTGAGCCGACAAGACATTTAAGCCCATGAGTAGTCCCACTGAAATGAATGGAACTGCTCACATGGTTAAAATTAAGCACATGTTTAAACACTTTGCTGGATCAGGGCCAGACTGGAATGCTTAGCAGCTGGCAGGATAAAGCACCCAGTCAATGAGCCTAAATGAAGGGAAAGATCATATTTAAAGGTGATAGCCAATCTACAAAAATTAACAATTGAAATTGGCATTTTATGCTAAATGCCTTATGAGAGAGATATTTAATCCAACAAGAAAAGGAGTACTTGTGGCACCTTAGAGACGAACCAATTTATTTGAGCATGAGCTTTCGTGAGCTACAGCTGTCATTTAATCCAACAGTAATTCTTGTTCTACAAGCCTATGAAGTACAGACCTGTGGCAGATCAAGTTATTGGCTTCTGTTCAGTATGAACTCCACTACTGTACTATGGGCCTGAGCCTGCAGCCCTTTCTCACGTGGCTAGTCCCAACAAAGCCCACAACACTGAAGTCAATGGACTAGTCCCATGAGTGAGATCTACAGGACTAGGCCATATGTCACAACTATACTTAAAAAGTATTAAAAGCCTGCCCACCAAAAATACAGAGCGTCCTACTTCCTCTCCACTGTTACATTATTTTGTGAAGTTTTCTATATTTTATACCAACTATTATGGTATATAAGATACTGTAAGAACTAAAAGTAAGCTTTACAAAGATGTGTTTTTATTTAGTGAGAAGCCTTGGCTTTCCTAAAAAATAATTTCCTGGTTTTAGTCATGGCATTAGCATTACTGAAATGGTCTGTTGTATACTAAATATGCAGCATTAGAAGTTGGTCTGTATTTCTGATCTGAGTCAAACCAGCAAACCTAAAGGTGGAAGAAAGAGAGCATTTCACAGGCAAGCCATATGTTTCCTCACGGATTACTCTAGATAAATCAGGTTAATCTTTGATTTCTTTATATTTCAAAAATTGGCAAAAAAAAGTTAAATAATGGAAGCATTATATTAATAATTTACTTAACCTTAACAAAATCCAGAAAGAAGAAATATGAAACACTTTACAATTAAGAGACTTTACAATTAAATTACCTCTCTGTCAATCATTTTATATCCACACATAGTGTTCATAATGTCTGTCTGAAAAGAAAAAATAAATGTCAAAAATTGGAAAAAATAATCACAAAAGCAAATTTATTTTTACTTTTCACTTATGTAAAAGCAACTTCAAAACTTGCAGTGAAGCCATAGCTGTGCCTAGACAGCCTCTTCTCCTCACAGGCCCTCCTTGTCCAGATAGGATCATGTCTTGTGCATGGAGCCGGCATGGTTAGTTAGGCAGTTGCACACTAGGGTGAGCTGCTAGGTGTGCTTGCCAAGGTGGGCAGTCAGGAAAAGGCATTCAAAAATACAAGGTATTTAAAGAGGGGGTGGCTTCCGGTGTCTGTAACACCTGGCCAGTAGAATTTATGGTGACTAGAGCAGTCCCTGTCACAAAGATTGGATTATTGTGAGACAGCTATTGGAGGACAGTTAGGGTAGACACAAGTCACAAAGTGTCTACACTTACACTGTGTCAGTCACAGTAGGTTGACCATGGCTTCACGCCACTCAAGGAGGTGGTTTTACTGCATCACTGTAATGGGGCAGTTACTTCGTCTGGATACAAATTTGAGCATAGACACATGCCCAAATAGGTTGACACAAAGTGACTTATGTTGACCTAACTTTGTAGTGTAGACCAGATTGAAGGAAAGTGTGGGTCCACTACTTAACAGGGAAGGAGAGCTAATAATGGAAGACACCAAGAAGGCTGAGGTGTTTTGTATCTGTTTTGCTTCAGTCTTCATTTAAAAGATAAATTGTGACCAGATGCTAAATACAACTAATATTAACAATGAGGGGGAAGGAACAAAAGCCAGAATAGGGAAAGAACAAGTTAAAGAATATTTAGATAAGTTAGATGTATTCAAGTTGGCAGGGCCTGATGATATTCACCTAAGGTACAGAAGGACCTAGCTGAAGCAATCTCAGCACCACTAGGGATTATCATATTTGAGAACTCCTGGAAGATGGGTGAGGTCCCAGATGATTGGAGAAGAGCAAACATAGAATCTATCTTTAGAGGGGGGAACAAAGAGGACCTGGGGAATTATAGACCAGTCAGACTAACTTTTATACCTGAAAAAATACTGGAACAAATTACAAAACAATCAGTTTGTAAACACCTAGAGAATAATAGGGTGGTAAAAAACAGCCAACATGGATTTGTCAATAACAAATCATGCCAAACCAAACTTTGACATGATTACAGGCCTAGTGGATACGGGAGAAGCAGTAGACGAAATATATATTGATTTTAGTAAGGCTTTTGACACAGTCCCACATGACAGTCTCATAAGCAAACTATAGAAATGTCACCTAGATGTAATTACTATAAAGTGGGTGCAAAACTTGTTGAAAAATCATACCCAGAGTAGTTATTAATTGTTCGCTGTCAAACTGGGAGGATTTATCTAGTGGGGTATTGCAGGGGTTTGCCCTGGGTCCAGTACTATTCAATATATTCATTAATGATTTGCATAATGGAGGGGAGAGTAGGCTTATAACATCTGAAGATGACACCAAGCTGGGAGAGGTTGCAAGCACTTTGAAGGACAGGATTAGAATTCAATAGGACCTTGATAAATTGGAGAACTGGACTCACAAGATAAAATTCAACATAGACATCTGTGAAGTGCTGTCCTTAGGTAGGAAAAATCAAATGCACAAAAACACACTAGAGAATAACTGGCTAAGCAATAGTACCGCTGGAAAGGATCTGGGGGTTATAGTGGATCATAAATTGAATACGAGTCAACAACGTGATGCAGTTGCACAAAACACTAATGTCATTTTTGGGATGTATTGTCAGGAATATTGTATGCAAGACATAGGAGGTGACTGTTCTGCTCTATACCGCATTGGTGAGGCCTCAGCTGGAATACTGTGTCCAGGTTTGGATGCCACACTTGAAGAAAGAAATGGACAAACTGGAGAGAGTCCAGAGGAGAGGAACAAAAATGATAAAAGGTTTAGAAAACCTGACCTATGAGGAAAGGTTTTAAAAAACATGGACATGTTTAGTCTTGAGAAAAGAAGACTTGAGTGGGAGTCTGATAACAGTCTTCAAATATGTTAAGGGCTGTTACAGAAAAGAAGGTGATCAGTTGTTATCCATGTCCCCTGAAGGTAGGAAAAGTAGTAATGGGCTTAATCTCCAGCAAGGGAGATTTATATGAGATAGTAGGGAAAACTTTCTCCCATAAGGATATTTAAGAACTGAAACAGGTTAACTGAGGGAGGCTGTGGAATCTCCATCACTGGAGGTTTTAAAGAACAAGTTAGGTAAACACCAGCCAGTCTAGGTATACTTGATCCTGCCTCAGTGTGGGTTGTGGGCCTTTCGAGGTTCCTTCCAGACCTGCATTTCTATGATTCTATGATTCCTAAATACTGGTAGTGTCTCAGTGTAGACACCCTTCAGACTAAGGTTAATACAACTCAGTCCTTTTTGCTCCTTTGTTTTACATCTCTCTAGACATATTTTACCTCTGGCAAAGTGGACAACATTGATTTTGTAATAGGGGTCCAGAGACCTAATGAAGTCATATATTCAGAGATTTTGTTACGATAATATATTACTTTAATAAATGAGATGCAGAGCCTCTTTCACACAGCTTTCATTTGGATGCACAATTTCTAGGTTTTTGTTTGAAATACTTATTCTATATTTTTCAAAAACCTTGGATCTATTTTGAAGCCTCAAGATGTCTCATGCAGTAAGTATCTTATGCTGACAATCCTCAATAAAACTGCAGAAACCAAAGAGTCAGGCCGTTTTTTTAAGGCATAAAAACCTGGCCTCCAATTTTGAGCTTGCAAGTAAACTGGCAGCACCAATTGTGGGCACAAAATTAGAGTCATTAAAATTTATTTTGTCCGAACTGTCTTTAGGCCAATTCTGAAAATCCTTGCTCAGAGAAGTATCCTACCTAGGTCAACAGGAGTAGCTCAAGTGTTCTGACAATACTCCCAATAAGTAAAGGTTTTCAAGACTAGGCCCATAAATGTGATGAAACTTCTGCTGCAAGTGATTTAATACTTTTCAAAACATTTTAGCCAAATGCATAAACACAGACTTTAACACAATGCTTCAAAACACAGAACATCATTACACCATTTAATTTTAGATGTAACATTGGCTAAAACAAAGCAGTGTAAGACAAATGCATCAGATAAATGCTATGGTTTGGGTGACTACTTTGACTCCAACTGAGTTCCTTCAGATTTACATCAGATCCGAATTTGGCCATCACACGTTAACAGAAGTTTTCCATGACCACAGACTGAATGAGTATTTATAAATCATACCTGTAGACGTCCATACAGAAACCAAGCTGTATTTGGAAACATTTGTCAAACATGTAAGTTTGATTAATGTTTTGATTTTTTTTTTAAAAAGACTTCTGCTTTATGGACATGGTGGTAAGGTCTTCTATACAAATTAGATCAAAGAGTCAGTGCTGCAAGATTCCACAGATCGTACAGTGGCACATTCATGACTCAAGGTTCTTCTATTTCATAACAGAAAAGTTTTTAAAAAAATGTAAAACATACTACAATATCCAATCTAGTAGTCTATCCTTAAATCAAAAGATTGTATTTTGTTTTGGTGTTTGACCTTGCTCTTTGATAAACAGAGCTGAGTAAATAATTCAAAGACTACATTTATTCTGTGAATTCAGCCTCTTCCTGCTCATAAAATATCTATGGACTACATTCTGTATTTTAATGTAACAAAGTTTTAGTTTTCTTTTCTTTTTTAATACTCTATGGACTGATTGTTTACATTTCGAACCCATGCTGTATTTTTTATTTGTGATGGGTCAGGAAAGTCACATGATATTGTTTCAGTTCCCTGAATAGATGAGAAGAAAATATTTTTTGTGGAAATACCCTGGCATGCAACTCTCAAAGTACTGTTCTGCAATATTCATGCCAGAAAAAAAGTCCATCACTCAAATATTAGCAAAAATTGAACATAAGGAGTATAAGTTGACCAAAAATGAATTAATAAATCCAAGTGGATAATTATGGAAGCTTTTTAATGAAAGTAACCAGTATTGTGTAGTTTCTACTACTGTTCTCGCACAAATTTGAAGTAACCAATTTTAAAAGTGAGGTTGCACTTTAGACCTGTATACTAGAAATAAAATTACTATTGTGAATTAACAAGAATCTAGATTGTTCTTTATTGGTCACCACCATCCCTCTGCATCCTCAATTTAAAGGGTTAGTTCCTGGTCCTTGCAATGGCCATGTTACCTCAGTGCAGCTAATTACTGAACCTAAAGGATTTTCACACAATTGAATTTATTACTCTCAAACAGATAAGACTTAAAATATTAATTGCTTAGTTTTGAATTCTGAATGAGTCTATCCAAGCTGTGATACATATTTAAATATTTTCCTTTCAGTTCTCAAAAACAACATAGGCATAAAAGAAGGAAAATAAACATGCACACTTTTATATAATATATGCACAGTATAAACAGCATACAGCAAGACTTCTGAGCCAATTATTGCAAACCATTTTAACAAAAAATTCTTTATAGGAGCACTAACTTAAAGAAGTACATAAAAAGGGTTATTTATATCAGGTGAAAATAAGTTATCTACCAGTAGATCTTTGACTGGATCTGTGCAGAAAGCAAACATTTAGATTTGGCATGACAAATACAGTATAAAAGACAATCAGGTAGCCTTTTATCCAAGTTGGAGAACTAGAAGTACCTGAGCACATGCAGAAAGATGTATGCAGCAAGTACAGATGTCAATGCCAAATGCCCTTATTTCAAAACTAATTTGGTCAGGATCAGGAAAACATAGAACTGCACAATGAACAAAGTTGAGGAACTACACAAGTACCTTATTTTTCTGTCTTGTACACAGGCCTCACTTCCAAAGACTGAAACAAAGTGGGAAAGGCATTTCCAGTATTTTTTTTAATTGTGGATCATTTCCTTATCAAACTTAATGTTACACTTAGCCTTCAAAGTAAGAGCACTGGTTACAGAATGCTCGTGATGGGTCTGATAGATTTAAAAACTGTTCCAAATCTCTAACCAAACCAGGACTTTTGGAAGGGTTCAGATGAAAAAAAGAAAAGTTAGTTCCTGCCTCTCTCTCTGACAGCAAGCTGACATTCACTGCTTTTGAGCACGCAGCAGATAGAGCAGGGGTATTTTCAAGCTATTCAGACCAATTTTCCAGCTGTGTATCATGCCATTTGAGAAAAGGAGAGGTTAGTTTCTCATTGTATGTATTCAGGTTTCTCAGATCATTGGGGATGAACCGCTAGTTAAGAGTATGTGTGTACGTACACATGTGAATGCAACTTATGAGAATGCATACAATGCTAAAGGGAAAGCATGAACAGTCATAAAAACTTAGAGGTGACGTGCAAATTAGCAAGGATAAGAGAAGCATTTAGTATGCAGCCAAATCAGAATTACTTTCCCCTTTTTAAGTTCCTCAGAGTCACAGATCACAAGCTCCCACTTCAAGCTCCACCCCACTATATACTATATTGGCCCCATAACAACCGTGTGGAGACTATGCTTAGCATAAAAACCTAGCAACTATGAAAATCTGTTCCTTTCTGCTTAACTAACAGACATACTTCCCAAGATTCTTAATTGATGAAAAGTTATTCTTTAAGAGAATGAGTAATTTAGGATAGTTATTTTTCTGTGAATCACTGAGATTTAACAGAAACCAGCTAAAATAATAAGAACAAATAGAGTATACATACCTTATTTCTAATACAACAAGTATAGGGCACTCCACAGGCTAATGGCCCTGGTGCAGAACACTCATGATACGGATTCTTTGACCAGTCTTTAAAATCTTCCCCACCACAACACTTAAACTTAAAAAAAAGAAAAAAAATCTGTCTTAATAAAAATGTTTCTAATAATTGAAGAATGAATCAAATATAAAAATGAATTACTGGTAATTTTAAGAAAGCTCAGGTATCAGAGAGAAAAGAGGCAGCAAAACATCTGCTTGTCATACCATTGACTCATTAGCAAAAGTTATAGCACAGCATGTCCCAAAATTGTAGTCAAAGTCACAAATAAAATATGCAGGATAAGGGAAAATCAGATTTAAAATGCATTGGATCAGAGTCAACGTTTCAGGTAAAAAGCCCAAGCATCATTTATAGAAGAAACCAGTAAAATCACATGATTAGAGGCAAAATGAAAGAGGAAAAGCTCTCATCATGTTTGTAGCGATGGTTAAATACTTTATTTTATATAAAATTGTATCCACAGGAAAGTTTCTATCTGACTGACAAGGAGGGAAAAGCTAAATTGAAAGATCCAGTTTGCTGTTAGTGTACATATGCCATTAATGGGTAGTGTTGAAGCTGGGGTTATAATGGGACTATCAACTTTGCTTTGATTAGCAGGTGTGTGTGTGCGTGAGCGCGCGCATGCGTGTACATACATACATTGCATTGCCCCTCAAAATAGAAAGAATATTAAGACATCTAAAGAATCGGGCTCCTGAAGAGCAGGATCCAATTTCAATATGCTGTCTATTCAAAATGACTAGCGGCATTATGGATACATGTCGTGTCCCTCCATCATTCATTAAGCCATTACTCTATATTTGACAGTAAAAGTAACTGATACTCAGTCCCAGCTCTATTTTTGAAAGATGATAGATTTTGGTTTGGATCTGAATAACACAAAACTTATTTCTTTTTTAGCTGAATTTTGAGCTGGTCAATTTTGACCAGGTTCCTGTAAAAAACGAAAAAGATTTTAAACACAAAAAAGATATTTTATCTAGGGATGTTCTTGCAAATTATAAAAAACAGCAGAATGTTTTCAAAGTGATTTAATTAACAGAATAGGACTGTGATCCTGCAAACAAAACAAATCTAGTTAATTTACAGTAGTCCAGTTAATTAAAAAAGCCCCCCGCTATTGCTTTTTTCAAAAAGAGGAAAAAGCGCGAGTTTATCTATCACTGGTACTTATAATCACTGTCCATATGTATAACAATTTGTAGAACATGGAAACTCTTAGAAGGGTATGAACTAAAATGACAAGATAGCTTAGATGGTTTGCTTTTGAAAACTTTTTCCATGTTTACTTTGTTTTTGAAAGTACCGTGGTGTTTCCATAATGATGTTACAAAATTTGTGCAGCATCTAAGCCACTTAAGAAAAAGTTTTTAACAAATCTATACATTGTATGGCTCCCTATATACACATCTGAACACTTTCTGTTTCTTCTATAGTCTCAAAAGTATATATGTCAGAATTCTTCAATAATCCAATAAATATTTTAACACAGCATCTTTAATAAAGGCGATGAGTCAACTACGTATGCTATTAAATACTGTTCAGCTGCGCTCAACATCATTTCTGAATTTTAGTAACAGATATATTTCCTTCAGTAAGCATTTCAAGAAGAAATCTGAAGAATTTGTTTAAGCAAAATACAGTAATTCATAGCTTTTGTAAGTGAAACCCAGTCCAATGCCCATTACAGTGGATTTCAAAGGAAATCTTTGCATTGTCTTCAGCAGGATTTGGATCGTGCCCTTAGTCCCAGATTCACATTCAGAGGTGTAGGGGTTGCAGTTTGCACTCCTCACACCTGGGAGGGAAAGGGGGCTTTAAAAGCCAACTAGAACTCCATAAAATCCCTGCCAGCAGAAAGTCTACAAGAGATTTTCCAGCTCACACAAGGGAGTCTATTCCCCCCATTAATGGGAGTTAGATTAACACACCAAGGAAGAATATTCTCCGTAATATTTATTATCAAGAGTGACATTCAGGGGTTTACCACGTTCCCTTCTAGAATTAGTTTTAATTAAATACTCCCAGAAAAAACAAACCTGCTTTTGAACAAAATCCATTATGTTTTTGAAGTCCAGATCATCATAATAATTCTTAATTCCTCTTCTGATATTATCATTTAAAAAGTCAATTGTCTAGGGGACAAAAGCAAAATAAGATGTATCACTTACATATTCTACAACAATATTTAAGACTCAGCACTTACTGATAGGGTAACTAATGGGCATAAAACTAGCACAAACAGATATTATGTCATTATAGATGCGGGTAGTAACTAAATTAAGCCCTGATCATGTAAAGACTTATTCACTTGCTTAATTTTCAGCACATAAGTAGTCCCATTGACATCACTGATTAAAGTTTAAGCACATGCATACGTTTTTGGATAATCAGTGTCTTAGATGTCACTTTTTATGATAGTATAAATAATTAACATTACCTAGCTCTTACATAGCACTTTTCATCTATAGAACACAAAGCACTTTACAAAGGAGGCAAGTATCATTATCCCCATTTTACAGATAAGGAAACTGAGGGATGGAGAAATGAAGTGATTTGCCCAGAGTCACCCAGCAGGCTAGTGGTAGAGACAGGAAACTGCACAGGTCATCTGAGACTAAGTCCAGGGCAACCTGACCCTTAACAAGCCAGCTCAGATTGTGGGATTGGGGAATGGTCCAGATCCCTGGCAGTTCGAGGGCAATGGCCTGCCAAAGGCAGCCCTCCTGGGTTAGAGGAGCTACAAATGGTAAATTCACAATATATCATTTCTGGAATGCTTGCCAAGAACTTTTCCACTCAGCTTACCCAGAACACCTGGTCCAGTTCTGGGAAAACACTTCATCCAGTTCTCTGGGATCCAAAAACTCAGTTCAACTCCAGCTACTCATTCGGGTTACTTTATTAGGCATGTAACAGCTCTATGCCCATCCTGGCCAGGCCCAGACACAGAGGGGTGAGGTACAGAGTGGAACCATAATTACATAGCAAGTCACACACTACACAGTATATAGACTTTTTTTCAAGCTACCAATATCTATACTTCTTGAATCTACATTGTATCGATCACGTCAGGACCAATCACTTTGCAGATCATGTAAACCCATATTGCTTATGTCCTCACCTTAATATTACAAGCTTATCAGTTCAGGGTGTTCCCGCTTATCGCAACCAGTCTCCAGCACACAATCTCTCACACCCTTGTTTACAGTGTAACCTTGCACTCAAATCAAGCTATATGCAAGTTTACTCATGCCCAGCAAGATCTATGCCTACAACTGGCAGGATTAACTGGATGGACCCAGGCACACTCCCTAAAGGGAGGCACAAAGTGGAACCAGGCTTCTTCCTGCTCTACTTTCCTTGCTGCTGCACATCCCATCCTCTGTTGCCCTCCTTCCTTCAGGGTTATTCCTTGCATGAGGTATTTGTTTCTTGTTGCTCTATCTGTTCTGAGTTATTTAGACGCAGTGGGTTAGGACAACATGCTGTGGGGTCCCCTGGGTTGGAAGAGATTTCATGGGTACACATGGTAGAATTAATTTGTCTTTGATTTGCAAAATCACAACTTTGACTGGTTTGCCCTGGCAGAATGGGTTAGATTCCCCTTCAGGTGTAAAAATTAAAAAAGAGACGTGACTAGTGATCTCAACCCCACAGTGGTCAGGAGTTAGAGTAATGCCCCTTACTAGTACATTGGGTATCAGTCCAATTCTCCTAAAGAAAGAGCCTGAAGATGCATGCAGGCACTTAGAAAATGTTGTTCACTCTCATAATTTTACCCAAGCCTTGCAATATTTGGTTATTCTTCTTAAATCCCAAGCTCATGGAACCATGTGATTATGTAAGACTCTCATCTTCCATGTTTTAAAAAGTTTCTAACCCTCAAGGTTGCAGAGAAAAGATTGAAAACATGAATCCTAAAGGCTGTAAAACCAGATGGGCAATAAGTGGATCTGGTTTTTATTTTAAAAAGCCACATTTTATGAGGTCTGCCTCACAATTTTTGTATGCTTGAGCTGGCAATACTGCTTATGTAAGGCCTGGTTGTTATGTAAGGCCTCATGAAGTAGCTTGCACAAGGCTGTGGCCTTGATCACCTTAGAACAGCTACAGGACTTGGTAGGTCTTAGAGCAGTGGTTCTCAACTCTGGTCCACTGCTTGTTCAGGGAAAGCCCCTGGCGGGCCGGGGCAGTTTGTTTACCTGCCACGTCCTCAGGTTCGGCCAGTCACGGCTCCCACTGGCCGCGGTTCACTGCTCCAGGCCAACAGGTGCTGCAGAAAGCGGCGGGCCGAAGGATGTGCTGGCCGCCCTTCCCGCAGCCCCCATTGGCCTGGAGCAGCGAACCGTGGCCAGTGGGAGCCACAATCAGCTGAGCCTGCAGACGCGGCAGGTAAACAAACCAGCCCAGCGCGCCAGGGGCTTTCCCTGAACAAGCGGTGGACCAGAGTTGAGAACCACTATCTTAGAGTAACATGGGCTCCCTTTGGGCCAGAATATGTTAGGATGCTCTGTCTTTGAGCACTGGAAAGCGGTCTTCCCTCCTTTTCACTGCTGCCAGGAAAACTGCCTTTAGAAAACACTTTGTTTAAGTTGAAGGTTTAGTACAGTTCCTGTCACTCATAAGGTTGCCAGGTGTCTGGTTTTAGACTGGACCACCTGGTCGAAAAGGGACCTTGGCCGCTGACTGGACCGTTAAAAGTCCGGTTGGTACGGGGCTGACGGGCTCCCTACCAGGCTCCACACAGCTCTTGGGAAGCAGCTGGCATGTCCCTCCAGCTCCTAGGCATAGGGGTGGCCACAGGGGTTCCACGCACTGCCCCAGCCCCGAGCACTGGCTCCACCCGGCCAACGGGAGCTGCGGGGCAGCGCCTCCAGGCAGGGGCAGCACACAGAGCCTCCTGGCTGCACCTCCACCTAGGAGCCGGAGGTACATGCCGGCCACTTCCCAGTCAGCGCCACCCGGAGCCGTCACCCTGAACCCCCTCCTGCGCCCCAACCCTCTGTCCCAGCCCTGAGCCCCCTCCCACACCCAAATTCCCTCCTGGAGCCCAGACTCCATACCCCCTCCCACACCTCAACCTCCTGCCTCAGCCCAGAGCTCCCTCCCACACTCCAAACCCCTTGGCCCCACCCCGCAGCCCGGAGCCACCTCCTGCATCCCAAATCCCTCATCCCCAGCACCACCCCAGAGCCTGCACCCTTAGCCAGAGCCATCAGCCCCTCCCGCACCCCAACCCCCTGCCCCAGACCAGTGAAAATGAACGAGTGAGTGAGGGTGGGGGAGAGTGAGCAACAGAGGGAGGGGGATGGAGTGAGCGGGCGTGAGGCTTCGGAGAAGGCACAAGGCAGGGGCGGGGCCTCAGGGAAGGGACGGGGCAGAGCAAGGGTGTTTGGTTTTCTGGGATTAGAAAGTTGGCAACCCTAGTTACTTAGCCAAAATATTTTAATTCCTGTCTCTATCCTCACTGTTCCCCTGTCATTCCCAATGATACAAAGCTGAATAATCTCTCATCAAACATACAAATAGTTTATGGTCTAACATGAAAATAAATAATTGTGCTAAAGATCATTAGTGAAACAAAGAGCTTCAGTTTCAATGGACTAGAAAGGAGAGGGAAGAAATGAATATTTGCATACTTTACAATCATGGCATTGAGCACATATAAAAGTCATCAAGAAAAGAAGATGTAGATATAAGAAGCGATGTCTCCTGAGCTCAATGTACTGGGAATTACATAAATGAGCCTAAGAGGTAAGAAAAAATGTCTGGAACTTTTCTCTTTTAAGTATCTAATACAGTCATAGCCTTCCTGAAATGGGCAGTCCTCAGAACACTTCCATCTTCCTTACAAATAAAATTTTCATAATTAAGAAATTTATCAAGACTAGACTTCTGGTCAGAAATAGGTACAGTAGTTTCCTTCGTATGTAGAGAATGCCCCACAATAAATAAAGTCTGTAGAAATAATAAAGTATTGTGCTCACTTCTTCTATTCTGTTAACATTAGGTTTCTTAAATCCCAATAAAACAAACTTCTACAGAAAACAATTGATTATATAAGAAATCTAATCTTCATCTTTTTGCCAATATCAAATACATCCTTCATCCAAGAGTCAAAATCCTGCAAGTGGGTGGACTCAACTGATGGGTCTTTTAATTTCTAGTTTTTGTACACTTATATAAGAGCATCCCAAAAGAAGAGAACAACACTGTAAAAGTCAAGAATATATCAATAAGAAAACCAAATTTGTCTTCCAATATCCAAATTAAACTATGAAAAACTGAAAGTTAAATAAATAGTTTAGAGTTTGAGTCTATAAACCTGTATTTCTTTATACCTAGTTGAAAGCAATAGCGAGGGAGCACACATAAAGCAAGCTAAAGTTGTATAATACATCTGTATACCTAGTTCTGCACACATTAATCACATATTTGGTCTCTTATCTTCCCAATTTCTCTCTCTCCAAGCCCTCAACTTCTTTCTTGACATTTTTGTTCAGTTCTGACAGCCAAGGAAGAAGCTAACTGAGGCCACACTAGTTCTTTCCCCATAGCTCTGGTAGCTTAACATTAGTTGTAGTTTAACATTATAGCCAACACATATCTATGCAAGAAGATGGACTCATTTTCTTCAGCTGTCAGCTCCTCAGAGAAAGTCTTCATGAGAGCACCTTTCTTCAGACTTCAAGAAACAGAAACAGAGGATGTTCATTACAGCAACAAGGAAGGCCCCATGAGCTTGTCAGCATGGCTTGTTCCTCATCATGACAAAGGCTACACTATACTACATGTCTACACTACAAACTTTGACTGCAACATATCAGTATAAACATGCCCCAAGTAGTATATCACTCATTCACATGAATACTTGGCTCCTTGAGTCAGAGCTGCACATACTCACCAGGATTGCTTGAATCGATGCACTGTGTGGTGCACGATGGGCAGGTAACCCAATGTGCAAAAAACCACCATCCAGCACACTCTTTTGCGAAGTTTTGGCAATGCATGTTGGGGCAGTAATGAATTGTGCAGGGGTGACTGGGAGCAATGGATCAACTTCCCAGCATGCAACTTTCTCCATCCCATCATTTCATCCATATCCCATGATTTTTGTGCCTTTTGTGCCACCTTCTGGCAACTGCATGTACTGTGGTAGCTCTCTTTCTCTCTCGTGTGGCAACTGCCTCCTTCTTCAGTATAGCCCACCCATCTGGGCCAGATCAATCCTAGGGCTTTCCCCTGCTGGGGTAGTCCAAAATAAACAAAGGGAAATTAATAGAACTGGGAGTCCATATGAGAGGAAGAGGGGAATGCTTCCTTCTCAGGCTGTCTCTGTAGCAGGTCCTCCCTTCCTTCAGTTGTCATGGGGAAAGGTTCTGCCTTTCCTTCCACTCTCTTCTGCTGGGGCTGCTGGTTGTAGTCTGGTCTCTTCCCTGCTCTGCCACCAAATGAGCTGATCCCCTGCCTTTTAACTCCTCTGCCAATTGGTGCATTTCCTACAGGTGTGGAGGGGCAGGGCTGGCTGAACCTAGAGAACTGAAAACTGGCACCATTTTCACAGGCGGTGGTCATTTTAACTGATATCTCCCCCCTGAGGGTAACAAAAGCACAGAGAACACAGCTGCAGCCGGCGTCCTGCATGGGTCCATAAACCACTAGCCTATTTACTGCAATGGTGCATGCCAAAGTTATCGCCGACTGGCGTGGGAAAGCATCGTACCGCAGAGGAAGAAATAAGGCTGCCATTCACAGAAACCTTCAGGAGAGGATTGCAGAGTACCTCAATGAAAGTTTCAGCGATCTCTCTCAGGAGGATTCAAGGGAAATTCCTGCGTACGCACACAAAGTGCTCTGTATGGCCCCCACCACATAACTCTATAGGGGGATGAAAAGCAGATAACAACGCTATCACTGTTTGTTGTACCAATGCTTCTTCCAGCATCAGTAAATCACTGGCTGTGTCCTGCTAAGTTGGGGGTGTCATCAGTACATCATTGAAAGGAGAAATACATTTATAAACATACTTCAGTTTCCTTCCCCTTGACCTGGGCTCAGCTGCCATGACTGACTGGACTGCAAGTGGAATCTCAAAAAGGTCCTGGCTCACGGCATAGCTGGACCCCCTGGTTGCATTTCCCCCATCCTTATCATCATCATCCTTGCTGTTCACAGGTATCCACAGTGGTCTGCAGGGCTGTGGTGAGGTCTCCACCAAGTATGGCATGCAACTCATTGTATAAAGGGCAGGTCTGTGGCTCAGCATCAGATAGACTGTTGGCCTCCCTGGCCTTCTGGTATGCCTGCCGCAGGTACTTCACTTTCACACAGTACTGTTGCTGATCCTCCATGCAATCTGCTTGCAGATATCGACATTTCTGTGGCTGGTCCATACCTGTGCCTGCACAGCCTCTTCTCCCCACAGTCCCAAGAGATCCAATATCTCCAGTCTACTCCAGGCCAGAGTATGCCTGGAATATGTAGCCGGCATGGACAGCTGGCACTTGCACCCAACAATGTAGAGCCAACATGTGTGCTCGCCAAGCTGAACAATCAGGAAAAGGCATTTCAAAAATGTGTGGGGTTTTACAGGTGGAGAGGTCTTCTGGTCTCCATGTCCCTTGGGCAGTGGAGTTCACAAATGTGACGAGAGCAGTCAGCGCTGGGCATTGTGGGACAGTTGCTGGAGGACAGTTAGGGTCAACATAAGTAACACAGCATCTACACACATGCTGTGTCGACCCCAGTACATCGAACAAGACTCAGCACTGCTTGGGGAGGTGGTGTTACTGCATAGCCATAACAGGGTGCACAGATCAGAGGAAGACAAATTTAAGTGTAGACACATGCACAATTAGGTCAACGCAAGACATCTTATGTCAATCTACCTTCGTAATACAGACCATGCCTTATTCCCCAAAGGATGATCCAGTGGTCATCTTACCTCTGTCATTCTGGGAATCTCATTTTCCCTTCTGAAGCCCTCATCTATTTCTCTTCTAGTTAAATGTAATTGCTCAACCCTTGGCTAGAAAGGCAAAGGGGAGGGCTCATTTGACATCTGTAAAAGTCTGCAGATATTTGCTAAGGGAGGGAGGGAATAAAGATTCTCCATCTTAGTTATATTTGATAATGTTTCAGAAGGTTGAGATCCAACTGGTGTATCTTAATGGCTGAGACTTGCATGCAAGAGCCATTGTGCTGCTGCCCTAATGAATTCATTTCTGCTGCACAAAAGGAAATAATAAAACAACCTTCCACAGGCAAATAGAAGTAGGAAGAGAAGAGAAGAAGATGCTTTTCTAGAAGAGATGTATATCTTACATCTACACACCACCAAACTTTCATATTTCCATGTTCATGATGGTTTTCTTTCTTGATCAAATTGAACCAATAGTCTGGCTAATTAGATACCAGAAAGGATGCTACTTGTGCTTAGTCAAATTCTCAATTTTGGCTATCCCATGGGAAACTCAGAGCTAATGAAGTCTGGTGCAGTTTGATGCTGCCATCTAGAGAATCAGTAGCAATAAATATAAAATGTACTTGTTACTTTCAGGAAGTATAAAATATACTTGTTCAAGAACAAGAAAGAACACTGAGCTGAAGAAGCAAGTCAGTACTCCATGGAATCATCCTTTATGTCAGAAGCTCAAGGACAATACATAACCTCTGTTTTAAAAAAGAAGGATGTACATTTCAGTGTTACATGATATTTTTCAAACCACAATTAAACTGTAAAATGAACATGAAAAAAAAAAGATGCCAAATCTCGATGAACAACCAGAATCCCCTAGAGAATACACAAATGGCCCCATAAAAATGAAATTGTTATAACAATTTCAAACATCACCTAGACACTAGAATAATGGGGACAGGTTGTACACAATAACTGCATGAAAAATAAATACATAACTGATACTTTCTCTGTTATTAAAGATAAAAGATGGTAAACAAATGCCATAATAAGATATTTCTTACAGTAAGTATGACTCAAAGAAAAGCAACTTAACTTTTCAGCTTTCAGAGGGAAGTGGCTTATGCAAAACACCAGCATTTTTATTCAGTGCATCACTGAATACAGATCATTTCCTTATCCATAAACCATTAGCACCAAGCTCTCCGCCAACCCTAAAAGAGGGTAGTACAGCCCCCAGATCCCTTCAGTTATTAATCTCCTTGCTGAGACAGCCAATTAATCCAATAGAAATAAAGTTGTGAGGGGAGAGTTAGAGGAATGATCATTTGGAACCTTTTCTTTATGAAAATCAATAGTAACCCTTCCCCCACACTCAAAAAACAGAAAATTGAATTCCAGATATTTTATTTACCATGAACCAAATCTTCTATTTACTATAATATCCATTCATTTTGATTCTAATACAGTGTAAACACATTTGATGGGTTCCATTCTGATGTCTAGTTTCTCACTTTAAGTGAAATTTAGAAGAATAATTTGCACAATGTTAAGTATATGTTACGGTCACTGTTAAATATAATTTTTAAAAGTGAAGATAACCCATCTCTTGATGTTACCATTCAATTTCAGAACTTCACTGTAGCATCAAGTTGAAAGAGCAGTGATGGGAAAGGGAAAGCTTGTTTCAATACAACGGTGAGAAGTAAAATGGCAAGATTTATCATTTAAAAATTATGTGTTTTAAAGCTATCCATAAGAACACTTTCTTTAGAAGAGACAGATGTAGGACACTGGGGGGGTGGCCATTTATTTTTTGCTCCTTTGTTCCTTTTGAATGTTCTTACTGATTTTGCCAATAGAAAAATAGAAAAAATAAAAATAAATGTGTATAGGCTTCTGCTACTTAACATGGCATATACATTTATGTCCTAAAGCTTTAACAGAAAAGAGTCATCTATGACCTATCTGCCAAAAACCCACACACATGTAGATTAATCAGTCCATTTTTTAATTTAATCAATATGCAAAGTGTTTGGTTGATCTAGTCTGTCCGAGCAAAGTAGTTTGGTTATTGAAGGAAACATACTCCAACCTAGTAACAGAACTGAAATAATGTAAGCACTACTGTACTAATATACACGAATAAGGTGAAAATGCAAAACAGATTGTTCACCCAAAAGTGCCCAAGTCTCCCTAGGCAGCTGAAATTTTCAGAGAGCAGCAAAGGGTAGGACATGGGAAGTAAAATGAAGAAAAGCATTTCACAACACAGAAAGCTTTTGCAAACCAGTTCTGCACATATTGCAGATCCTTACTAATGGGTTACACAGATAACCTTTTCCCTTATTCTTCAGTCTCAAAATCAGTTGCACAAGTTATGACAATTCCTTTTTTTCTACTAATTTGAAAAAAACTTTTAAACCAGTACCTTTCTTTAGTCCCTCACTTTTTAGTGTTCAGATGACAATTTAAATACTTTTACCCTCTAAACAGTGTAGCCACACATTTGCATATTGCACATTACATTTTTACTCCTTAGTAATGTTAACTAATTTTTGCTCACCTGATTTCTGAAGATCAGTGCCACAACTCCACCGACCAGTTCAATGAAGAGACAAATGCCAAGGATGTACATAAACTGCAAAATGTAATTGCAAAAAAATATCCTAAATAAGCTTAGGCTCAAATTTCCTCAGTTATTCCTTCAATTATTCTGCTTTAAGTCAGGAATCTTTAACCTCCAACATACTGAACAATTTTCTAAATCTCAATGTACTTTTGAAAGACAACAGGAAAAATCAAGGTTAAAATATATATATATATATATAAACTGTTTGTGGTTTGAGAGATCCCTTTCCCCACATTGCTAATTGTACCTTTTTCCATTTGGCAACACTGAAAATTTTTCAACTGAATTGAAATTTAAAAGCTTTTTTAAGACTTGCATTGCATTTATCATGCCAAAACACCTCTTCCCCTCTCTTTATATCAGCATCATAGCTCTTGGAATAGCATATTAATGAATTGCTAAAAAAACACGGAACATTATGGTTTTGTGCTTCCCAAAAAGATCAGTAGTATTCAAAGTCAGTCAAATCTGGGACTTAGTACATTTGATAGCAAAGTGAGAGCACTTTAAGAGGGTCAGATGTTAACTACCACCACACTTCCCTTTTTCAAAAACATGGGGGCAAAAACTAGTGCTGTACTACGTTGATAGAGCACTGGAAATGTTTGTACTTCCTGCTACTGACCTATTCCTTCCTCTCCCAACCCCCAACCAGGAAGATACAGTTTGTCACTTGTGAACACAAACACATACCAAGGGTAAACAAGGCCCAGAAGTAAACACTGCAGACTGCCCACATTAATAAACTGAGCTTATTCAGAATGTTGTGAACGACCTGGAACTACTGCACATTAAAGTCCTTTCCTCTGCTGGAGACAGAATTAGTCTAAGAAAGAAGCACCATGAACAGCAGCAAGAATGGTAAACTTTCCTGCCATAGAACGGTAAGCAATACTGTGTGCAATTAGAGACTATAATCATTCAACCTCAGATTCTCAGCAGTTTTATCTGTATCTGTACGGTATCTGTCAATTTCCAGTGTACTTTTTAAAATCGTAACCACCCATGATTTTAGCCTACATTATGTATCACATTTAACTATTCCTTAAATAAAATTTGGCAGGTGAATAAAAATTATGTTTATATGTTTTCCTTATTGTAATTTATGTTTATAACTTAAGTTTGAGACCACAGAACTCTGCAGGGATGAATGGAATTGCCCTCAAATAGCTACACTCATTCTTTCACAGAAATAGCAGAGAAGTGCTAGGTTACTGCTGTTTCCTCCTTAGGGGTCTCAGCTTTGAGGAGCTATGTGCTACAATGCCATCAATATTCTGAATACGCAGTTGTACATCTCCTTTTCAATGTACCCCACAGAACCATGCCCCCTGCTTTCCCCAGTGAATGGTAGACAGAGATTTGGATGAGAACCAACTTGTTTAGATTCAGTCTGAGTCTGCCATCTCCTCAAAATGCTTCTTTTGACAACAACCCTCCCAGTTTGATGCCTTAACCCAGCAGCTCTCAAACTTAATTGCACCGCGACCCCCTTCTGACAACAAAAATTACTACATGACCCCAGGAGGGGGGATAGAAGCCTGAGCTCGCCTGAGCCCCGCCACCCCAGGTGGGGGACTAAAGCCCGCGTCCTACCGCCCTGTGCGGAGAGGCCAAAGCTGAAGCCCAAGGGCTTCAGCCCCAGGCAGGGGGCCTGTAACCTGAGCCCCGCCACCCAGGGCTGAAGCCCTTGGGCTTTGGCCCCAGGCCCCAGCAAGTCTAAGCCAGCCCTAGCAACCCCATTACAACAGAGCTGCAACCCACTTTGGGGTCCCAACCCACAATTTGAGAATTGCTGCAAAATCCATCTATCAAAGTGGTTCACAGTTTCAAGGTTCTACTCTTCTCTGTTCTCAAATAGTAGTAGTGGCCAGATATTTTTTCTTTCATTTTCAACTGGCCGAGAGATTGTGCCATTTCCTCTCAAATGCAGTCCCCACCACAATACATGCCTTTGTTATCATTAGGCTACACAAATGCCACACACAGTGTACCTGGGGCTAACTTTGAAGGGTATTTGTATGCTTCAGTCAGTGCAATCCATTTTGACTGCCTATTCATGATTGGGGTTATTATCTATAAAGCCCTTACTTCTCTAGGTCCCAGTTATCTCATCAAAGACTGACTCTCCTCCTAGGTGCTGTTATATCAACAACACATAGAAAGAATGCTTCAGCTATCTCTTTCAAGGGTGAAGCTCACACAAGTTTGAGGTAGGGCATTCATAGTGGTGAACCCTCTAGAATTAGATATCACTGGGCATTCACTGGCTTTTAAAGTGAGATACACGGTATCCCTTTATTTAGCTTTTCTCTAGCTGTAAGCCTTGGAATCTCTTAAAACTGTTTATTTACAACTTTCAACTGACATAGATCCCTTGAGAGAAGCTCGGTTTTTTGCTACAAAGGGCTGCAAAGAATAAGCTCTTTGTTTTTAGAAGATGCAGTTTGGTACATTTCTAATCTCAAGGCATATAAAGTGAGATCAGATACTATGATAATGTGAATCTTATTACCTTACTACTAATTAGAAAATATTACAAGTATTTATAATATTAATTCTACTTATAAGTAAACAATCTAACCTCTCAATATTTGACATTTTTATTTATTCATCATTTGTTCACTTATGGCGCTATGCACACATCAGATGAGATTTTCAGACATGCTCAGCACTGGCTGAACTCTGGTCCCACAGAAGTCAATAATGATCTCAGTGGGAGCAGAGCTGGGCCAATGCTGAGCACTTGTGAAAATCCCACTTGTACATATTAAATAATAATCCAGATGATTCATTACAAAGATACCTGTGCAATGAAATATTTGTAAGATCAGATCAACATAAAGGATTTTATAATATTTAATTAAAAGTAAGAAAAGTGATTTGATTGTATTGCTTCTAAAGTTGTGTGTACCAGCCTTGCTTTACATAGTTTCTCTCTATTATTTAATTGAAGGAGAGGAAAAAATACTGTGTTTTTCCATTAAAGATAGATGACGCAATGATTAGGGAGGTTGAGCTCAAGTAATATCAAAAAATACAAAAACTATAAAAGACAGTAAAAAACTAGAGTACTTACTGCTTGAAGAAGGCATATATTGTCCCTTAAAGAAGCCAATACACCCACAAATGATACAAGAAACATTACAATGCCCAAGAGTATTAAAATAATTGCTGGGGCTAGAAAGGCACTTTCAAGGGTTTTATACTTCTGTCTTTCAACTTCTGCATAAATTCCAACAGCAAGAACAAGTGCTCCTATCAACTGCAATGAAAAAAAGAAAAGCAGGTGTTATTGTTTTTTCAAATAATATTTACCTTAAATACAGAGATGTTATTTGATGAATTGTATTAAATTTGTTTTTGTCACTTCTTGTCATATACAAATATTGTCACTAATTGCTTTGGAATGAATTACAAATCGTTTACTTCTACAATTACCAAGCACTAGGTTAAGGAAAAAAATTAAAAGTACTGGCTTCTAAATTTAACTTGTATAATGTTCTCTTTGTACAGACCCCAACATTAAAGTACACGGCAAGCAAATAAGTTCAAAGTGACCCTGTACATAGTTAATCATTTGCACACCACTTCATGCCAAAAAAATTTTTAAGAAAAGTTGATTAAAAAAGTTTACTATAGATACTGGACCTATAGATACTCCACTGACATCAGTAACCAAACTCCCACTGACTTCTACAGTGCATGCTTAGGCTCAATACAAAGAAGGATTTTCTAGGACAGACAGGACTAATATTTGGTTAAGCATCATCCAGTTTCAATTATCTTTCAGTGCAAAGGCTACTTCTCATTTTCCACTTAATCGGATAAATCTTGGCCACCTCTGACAAACAATACTGTTTTGGGAGCCAGTCTCATAGTTCCACATTTTGACAAGAACAGTCACATAGGCACTTTTCCACTTAGCAAAACTCTGCATAAGATGTACAAGGGCTTAGTCCATGTTCAAGTTTTACCAACCTGCCTTTTTTCCTTCCCTCCTCCAACAGAATTTGAAGAGAGAATTTTATGTTCCTGGTAGACCAGATCTTCCTGCTTCTATGTCAGTATTGCAAAAAAAGTCTATATATTACTTCATGTTAAACAGAGGATGAGCAACAGTTCTAGAGGACTTCACATTTCTTTCAAACATTTTCCCTGGCACATTTAATATAGTGGATTTTCTTAGCTATCCCAAAATAAAATTTGGGATTAGACAGGCATGACTGTTACTCTAATAATTCAATTTTGCCAAGATGAGCAATTTTCCATCATAAATGAAAGCTTTCAGGAAAAAAATATTAGACTTGTTATTCTGCTCTTGTATGGCTATTTCAACCTGCCAATTCAAATTCTCTACAATTCAGTCCACAAGATGATTGCATTTGGACTCATATTAGCTATGGACACATGTATTTGGTCACAGCTTCTATTACTCTTGTTAGGCTATGCCTACACTAGCACTTTTGTCAGTAAAACTTTTGTCAGCCAGGGGTGTGAAAAACCACTCCCCTGACAGACATAAGTGCCTTTTGTGGACAGCGCTATGTCGGAGGGAGGCGATCTTCCTCCAACATAGCTACTGCCAGACATTGGGGGTGGTTTAATTATGCCAACGGGAGAGCTCTCTCTAACTGGCAAAGAGCGGCTACGCAGGAGACCTTACCGCGGTGCAGCTTCTGTGCTCGCGGTAAAGTCTGTAGCGTAGACATACCAGTAATACTATGCAACTTCCAAGAGCTTTCAAAGTTCTTGATCCTTTTGCTGCCATAGCAAATTTCACCCACACAACACTTCTATAGATGGTGTACTTGATATTAGCATCTTTTTCTCTTTGTGCATTAACACTTATCGCTGTCTTGTTAAATTCAACCATTAAATAACTAAATAAGACTGAATTCAGGCTAACACCCTTCCTTCAATTCAGAGTGCCTTTTGTATAAGGGAGATTATGAATCACAGAAGAGAAAAGACAGACAGTGCTTATTCAACTTTACTATTTACATTACAAGCCCTTTTCTACTGTACCTATTTTTAACTGGTTTTACATCTTTAAAAGGCTGATCTCTAATGTTAGTTTAGCTTTTAAAAAGCAAAATGTTTTGAATTATCAGTTATAAATTATATTATTTATCATAACAATTCATATTTCTCTAGCTGGTATGAAACTTAGGAACATTGGCAAACAACCCAAAGAATCTTCAATAAACCTTATAATAGCAATTGTGTAATAGTAGATTTGTAAAGTCCACTAATTTTAAAAGAATTATTATGTAATGTAGCATTTTAATCTTATTCTGAAAATGTTGATACTGAATAATGTTTTGCAGTTTACAAAGAACTCTGAGATGGGGAAAATAGTTTGCTAAAAGCCAATAACAGAACACACAAATGGATTAGTCCTGTGCTTATTTAAAATCTGTCTCTCATCAGTGGAATACTATTGTATATGATTTTTCAAGTTCACTCCTTAAACAGTTTGTTTTATCAAAAATCTTGAGTACCAACTTAATGGATAAATTGCAGGCTTTTCGGCTATTACAGCATGTATATTAATATAACTGATAAATGTCTAGAGAATACCTTTTTGTGATAAAATATATACATCTGGGTTTGGCTAGCCTTACAGCCCTATATTCCTTACTTGGCTTAAAGTTTTATATTAATTTGTGTGTTAGATCTTCCTATCCAAGACCGTAAAAATAAATATGCAGTGAAATGATTTGCAATAAAAAGTTAAAAACGTGCCCTTTTAAGAATAGATACACTCACTATTAAGCCAATAAAGTTCCTAGTGTTACTGCCCAGAAACAGAACCACTTTTTCTGGTACACGCTGCTGCTGTTGTACAGGTCTAAATCTGAATTTGATTAAATCAGCACCTTCAGAGCTGCCATGATTTCAAATGCCTGCTTTACACTCTGCTATATCAAAGCCTCTTACAGCCACCACAGTTAGGACTGTGTCAGTTTTTCCATTACAAACTCCAACTTTCAGGAACTTAAATCTCAACAATAAAATCTACTCCAGAGTGAAATCTGGTATACAATGTTTCTTGTTTGGAATTAATTTGTTTAAAAAGAAAATAAGAAATCTGTCCACAATAATCTCTTGAAATGTATACATTGTAAGAGCTGAAAAACAAGTTTCAGGTGTATGTTTGCACTCTGGTAGCTTAGAAATTGTAAACGTTACAACCCTTTACTATACACTGTTCAAGCTCCCTACTACTGCAGATAATTTAAACCTACTATAGACTTGCAGTTACACCAAGTATACTCTGCTAGGAAAGGTACAGTTGGTAGAACTTACTGCGCACTACGGTAAGCAACTGCACTCAAGACACTAAAGTACAATATACAGTGTTTAAGATGTCCTCAACTGTCAGCATTTGTAGCCAAACCATCAAGATTTGAGGATTTGATTTGTCTAGTAGCTGAAATACTTGTCCAGCAAGTATATATCTTATACAGAGGGCATGCATGGTGGTGGGGATATAAAGTCAGAGTTAAGTTTCTTTGTGGAAACTTACATTTGAATTCCCAGGTTTTCAAAAGTTTGTTATTTTAACACTAAAAAATTCTGTTGAAAGATTTTTCCCTTGAGTTATTGATCCATATTTGCAAACCTAACCACATCTTCTTAAAGACTTTTGTCTGGAAGTAGGAACATATGCTCCACACACAAATTTTGCATATCTGGTGATGATACCTAACTAATAAACTGCAGGGCCATATGACAAAATGCACTTTTGTCCACTTAATCCTGCACTCTGCCCATCCATCTCCTCCAAGACTACTTTAGATATTCCAAATTTAGGAGCAGTTTCAGTTATTTTCCTCTATTAAATCAACATACCACAACTATGTCTCCTTTCTTCCCATTCCCCAAAAGATTACACTGGCCTGCCTGAGAAGCAGAACGGACACTATTCAGTGTTGGAAAAATGACAGGTTTAAGATGTGGTATCTCATGACTCATCAAGACTTGAAATGCAAACTATAGGGATAGTCCGAGCTTCCCAACAGGACATGCAGCAAGAACTTCTACTTCTGGAAGGCTCCAACATTTTGCACTTCAAAATAGTGGCACTTGACAGGCAGAGAGTTACAAAACTTGGTGCCAATAAAATTTATAAAAATGCACTAGAATATTTCTAAAATAGTTATTCTACAAAACAATACATATAGAAATGTGGGAGGTATAAAGCATTTATTGGCACTCATTTGTAGCTTTGCCATTCAGGAGTAATGCAACCTTCCCACAATCATGCTAATAAAACATTTATACTATACCATCATGCAATACACACATATTCCATACTGTATAAAGGCTTTCTTTTAGCAGAGGGAATTCCTAAAGAAAGAATAGATACTTTATTATAATCCTTGTGCATGTGGGTTATGTTTATATTTACTTGTACATTTTTAAAACATGAAATTTTTTTAAATCCTAGATTAAAAAGTATGAAGTTGACAATATAGTTACCCCTCTGCCCAGCAATACCATTACTTGAATAAACTTGTCCTCGTGTGCACTTCTCTTACACACAGTTGGAATAATTTTTTGTAAAATGTGCATAATAAACCAGCTTTATTACTGTACTCATTATTTCTATTGGCAAACCATTAAAAAACAAAAACTCACAGCCTAGATGGCTAAAAAACCCAGCATCATTGCTTTGCCTCAACCAAGAGGCAACAGTTTGGGAAAGAACTTTAACCCCTCCCAACTTACCCTTTTCGGCCAGTGTTGATTCTTCTCCTCCTTCCAGATGCTGCAGAAATCCAAACCACAAGTAGACCATGTCTACACTACCAATTTGTGTCAACAAAATGACACCCAAAAGTCGACATAATAAAAATCGCAATTTCATGTTCACACTTGCTCCCTCTGTCAGCAGATCGCGTCCACAGTGGGGGCACCATCATCGACAGTGTGAGCACTGGGCCACAACTGAGGATGCCAAATTCAGGAAAAACTGATGAGAAATAGGGTAGACACACCCCAAGACTGATGGCTAATCCCCCATAGGATATACCAAACTAGAAACGAAAGTAAACTTCTGTTTCACCAAACTGGCTAACAAGAAGTCATAAAAGCATTTCCTTAGACATTCCAGTTCTTATATCACCACTAAAAACACTGGATTTAAAGGTGAGTGGTTCTTTACAACCAGTCTCATCAAATAAAAGGTTCTCCTGATCCCAAAGGACCAGCCACACACCCAGGTCACTATATAGCCCAGATCTTACCCAAAAATCA